CAGACCCCAAACAGGCAGTCTTATCTACCAGCCCCTCTGCCAGATCTGTAGCTTCATCACTTCAGCATATGTTTGTGAAACAATCCTTAAATATCTGAAGTGAGATTTCATTGTCTGTCCACCCAGCGCATACCGCATTCATTCACTGTTGAGAAGCCTTCCCGAATGCCTAACCTGAAGCCAATCTGTTACAGTGTGTCACTTTTCTCAGTATTGGAAAGTTTTTCAGTCCAGCCGAACTTCCGATGCATTTTAAGCCCTTACGAACAGTAAAAACACTCCTCTCAGAAATGCTTACCACCAACAGACCAAAACATCGAGATGAGGTCCTAGCTCCACTTTAACTCACCGAAAACATACACTGAAATAGGCTCACAGGCACTGCACTATACACATCTGGCACACTGGAAAATACAGGCTGGCACCTAAGTTTAGATATTCAATGCAGAGTTTGCATTGGAGACAGAGTGGAGACAGAGGGAGACTTTCTTACCCTGCATCCAAAGGTTGATGTTTTTCTGATCACAGAATATTAAAATATAAAACTTTCTAGGTTACCTCTCTCTTCAAAGTTAAGGGGGCAAAAACAGGGCCAGAAAACTTTCCAGCAAGTACCACACAGCCTCCCTCACACCCATTGCCACCAAGGCCGTGAGGACTGATGCCACCTAGGCCACCAGCTGTGAAAACCCAACTTTTCACAGTAAGAACCCAAAACAAAACAAGCCACGACACCTTCACAAGGCCAGGCACATGTAGTGGCCACCAATGCCAGCTCTCCTCCCTCCTGCCCTGGGCCCACGCACCATCTTCCCCGCCCCACACCCCATATGGCCACCGTGTTCTACCATTGCCGATCTCACACCAGCAAGCCACGTTCCTCCACACGCTGCCGGACGGGGCAGCGGTCGAGGGGCCGCGCCCCATCTCAGCACCCCGGTACTCACCATCAGAGACCTCAAACTCGGCTGCTCCATTGAGCTGGTAGAGGCACCAATCAACCGCGCTCTCTCCTGGGGGGCCGCCAACTGGGCAGGGAGGAAAGGTACAGTCAGTCAGGGGCACCCGGGGCGCCGGAGAGAGGGCTGAGGAAGGGAGAAGGGAACGAGGAAAGGCAGGGACGGAGAAGAAGGGAGGAGAGATGGAGGGGGCAAAGGGATCGGAAGGATGAGAGGAGACCAGGGAGGGCCAGGGGAAGGACAGCGCTTCCAGATACCCTGTTTGTGGGACATGGGTGTCGCCCGCCGAAAGGCGCTCAGTGCTCTGAACTGTTATTTGCTGTGCTCCCAGCGCCGGCAGCTCGGGGCGCCTCCTCCTTCTCCCAGCGGAGCGGGCGGCGCAGGCAGGCAGCGGTGCCTCGGGGCGCTCGGGGAGCCGGGGGAGGGAGGACGGGAAGGAGGGAAGGCTCCGCCCGGAGCTCCCGGCGGAGGCGGCGCAGCCTCGCCCGGCCCCGCCGCGGCCCCAACAGGTGTGAGCGGGCTCGGGGCGGCCCCAGCAGGGCGGCGGGGCCGTGCCCAGCGAAGCGCCGCGGGCTGTCGGCGGGGCAGGGGCGGGGCGGCCGCTCTGCCTGAGGCGTGCCATGGCCACGGCGGCGGGAGGGGATGCCTCAGCCGGGCCTTCCTCCTCTGTCCGGGGTGGAGGAGCCTTCCCGCTGTTGGTAACTTCAGCCATGAACTCCCTCCCTTCCCCCCCGTCTGTGCCGTGTCCCATCGCTGCTTCCCAGCCACACGGGGCGGCCAGCCCGGCGTGTGGTGCACCAGGACTCTGGGGCGTACACCCCTGGAGAACCCACCACACCAGGGCCTGGCCAGTGTCACCCATCATAGAATCACAGAATCAGCTAGGTTGGAAAAGACCTTTAAGATCATCGGGTCCAACCATTACCCCAGGATTGCCACCTCCACTACTAAACCTTGTCACTAAGGGCCTCGTCTACGCGTTTCCTGAATGCTTCCCAGGATGGTGATTCCACCACTTCCCTGGGCAGCCTGTTCCAATACCTGAACACCCTTTTGGTAAAGAAATATATGCAGTCTAAACCTCCCCTGGCACAGCTTGAGGCAGTTACCTCTTGTCCTGTCTCCCAGCTTGCCACACCAAGCACCAGCAGCCGCACTTTCACCACAGTTCTCTTAGCATCCCTAGGCCATGAAGGTTATTTTATGGAAAAAGGCTGCAAATACAATGTATATTATCAGGGTTTATATATGCTGAAATCACTGCAGGGCTGGAGAGTGGTTTTTCGTCTGGCCCACCGACCCCTGTGGATCCGCAAACTGTACAGCATCCATGAGTGGTAAGTAAGAAATCAAAGCTGTTATCAAGCAAGCTTAAGTGCTCTGACTAGTGACCTTTATCTCCACTGGAAAAATATTTAGGGGAATGGCAAATTGTAGCTAAACCAGTCAGCTAGAGTGAACTTCAGTTAATAAATGCCTTTATTCTTATAGACATCCACCCCAAAAACATGACAGGAGGGAAATGCAAAGGTACATTACTTGTTCTGTTCACCAGGTAGCTTTCTTGGTATTTAACAATTGTGACTCCTTAGCCTATGGTTGGCAGTATCTTGTCTACACCTTCTGCCTTTTGGAGGTGACAGTGTCAGAGGCCCATGTATAACAGAGTTCAAGTCAAAGAAAGCAAATGCACCTTGTATGGGCAAATGAAAAAAACTTAAGAAATAACATAGGAGGACTATAATCAAGCCATACTAAGAGATTAGGAGCCAACAAGAGGATAAAATATCCATGTAGGCCACTGTCATGGCACAGTTACATTGGCTCTTCCATCTAGCTTTTTGCTGTTTGTGACACTGGATGTACATACAATCATAGAATCATAGAATAATTAGGGTTGGAAAGGACCTTAAGTTCCAACCCCCCTGACAGGGGTACAGACACCTCAGTCTCTACCATGTTACCCAAGGCTCTGTCCAACCTGGCCTTGAACACTGCCAGGGATGGAGCATTCACAACTTCCCTGGGCAACCCACTCCAGTGCCTCACCACCCTTACATGACGGGGAAGCATTATTTTCAGCATAAATTCTACTTGATACCTACAGTCATCCTTTTTTTACAGCAAGTGAAGACACTCCTGATACCTTTAGGTCTGTAAACTGTGGGCAGTTTGAGTCCATTTTTCCTAATAAAGGTATTCTGCTCAAATATTTATATTCTTCTCTACTGCATCCAAGACAGTGTCACACTGTGGCCTTTGTGAAAGAAGAAGGAGGGCAATTACACCTTCTGAAGAAAACAAGTTTAAAATAGGAGTACAATGTTCTGCAAACATTCTCAGCTACTTTTAGAAACAAAGCAAAACACCAACACTTAAGCTTTCCTGGGAACTTCTAAATTACAAAGACCATAATACCTTCTGGGGTAAAAAAAACACCAGTTCATTTAGAGAGCATATGTATATATATCCCCAAGCCATATGTTTGCTGGATGTGCACTAGCTTTCTTGGAACTGAAAAGGTTTAAGCTGATGATTTGAGGGTAAAAAAAAAAGAGTATCATAGATCTGTATTAAAGTAAAGCTTCATCCAGCTGCTTACAGTGATACTAACTCCCCCTAGAAATGACCTACAGACCTTGATTATTGCTCTTCATGACAGGGTATTATCATAAATAAAATTAACCTTGGCATTTAACTGTTAACTGCTTCTTTTTGGACAAAAATTTAGTCTACCATTTTGAATAACATGCTTTGGGGGGAATCCAGTTGCATTACATTTAATTGTTATAAAATGTAACAATTTTGCACTGTTCAACTCAGTGTTTGGCAGGTAAGGTAGCATGTGCTTGTTTTTTCTTTCTAAAGTGAGGGGATAGATGCAAATCACATTTATAGTGTGTGAGCTGTTTCTACAGGTATCTTGAGTATTGAGATGCGTTAATTTGCACCCAAGTGCCAGCTAGTCCAGTGAGAATGAATCTTTGGCTTTTATCAGTGTAAGTCTATAGATGGACGCTTAAGCCATTTTTGATTGTTTCCTTCAGAGAGATGACTGGTTTAACTAGGTTTGAAAATGGGTGATGCTCAATCAACACACAAACTTGAAAGTGGGAGCAGGCACCACCTTCATCTGCTGTCCTTTTATTTGGCACTGTTGGAAATGAGCAAAGAGTGTGGGAATTTTTGTTATTTCAGGATTGTAGGGTTGTTAAAAGCATGTAATTGACTCCAACTAGAACATAAGTTCTACCACAGTGTATTTTAGAGTCAAAGTTTAAAAAACAATTCAATCTGCTTTAGCTTTTAGTATCACAATGAGGTACTGGGCAGAAACTGTAGACAAAACTTCTGAGGAGATTGGGCTACATTATCCTATAATATTTTTTAATTATAGGCTGGATTTCTTCCTCTTCAGTGGGACTTCGTGCAGACACAAGACTGCCTTTTCAGTTCTCAGTACAGGTCCCACCTCTTGCTAGGAACAAGAAAACAAGTGATAAAACCAATGTAAATGGGATCAGAAGGTCAAACACATAAAATTTGACGTTGCTATAGCTCCAAAGATGCAGACAGGCATCTGTGATTAACTATTATACCTTAAAATAAAGAATTCACATTCAATTCAGAAGAATGTGGGAAAAAAAAATAAATTAAAAAAGCCAAGGATTTATAGCTGTATTTATAGTTGTCCAAGATTCAGAACTCAACATCCCTCAGGGCAATCCAGTTGTATGAGAAAACCAGCCCCAGAGTTATCAGCAGGAGCCACCAGGACCTGGGGCTGCGGTTTTAGCTGGCTCTTGCACCCTGCTGTAGGGGTCTCAGCTCCCTACAGGGCAGCTCGGGTCTACCACAGGCACCCCCTCCTGCCTCAAAATCCTCCCATTTCAAGGTAAACCGCTGTAGCTTCTTGTTAACAAAGCAGTGACTCCTGAACCAGCCGCACGCCTCCCCACCGTGCAGATGATGCCGCGGCGCGGTAGCCCCGCTCCTACTCCTTGCTCCCGCTCCCTCCCCGTCCCGAGGCCGCCGTGCCGGGAGGCGGTGCTGGGCCGGCGGGACGCGGAAGTGAAGCGGGGAGCTGGCAGGGAGCCGCCATGGGAGCCCCGCTCCTCCCGCTCCTGCTCCTCAGCCTGCTGCCTTGGGCCGATGGCAGCGGGGCGCTGCGGGCTTTCGTCGTCGCCCACAGCCACATGGACGTCGGCTGGGTGTACACGGTGCAGGTGGGGCCCTGCGGAGCGGGGCTGGCCGGGGTGGGAGCGGCGCCGCACGGCGCGGCTGCCGTCGGGGTAGGGGTGGGCCTGGCGCTGCCCCAGCCCAGCGCCTTCAGGCTTGTAAAACTCTCTGGAGTTCCGTAGTTCTGGCTGCGGGGTTCCGGCTGGTCCTGCACCACCGCCCGCAGAGAAACGTGGACATCCCTGTGTCCCCCAGGGATGCATCCCCGTCCCGACAGGTGCATCTCCTGTTGGGAGTGTGCTCGTCGTTGCGGGAGGAGGCATGGTTAGCTTGGGAACTGTACCCATGAATTTTAGGCTTATGTGTGCCTGTGTTCTGCGGGATGCTTCTGAGGGATTTCCCCCCCCCCCCCCCCCCCCCCCCATTGTTTTTTAAGGAAGACCTTCACTCTGTTTGATGTTGAGCTTTGATCCTATAGCAGATTTTCTTGGTCCTTTTGTTTATCTTCTTACTAAGCCAAAACCCCAGGAAAACTTTGTGCTGTTTCTTAGAGAAGAGAGCAGGACCCAAGCCCTTGGTGGCTGGAATAGGCTTGGAGCCTTGTCCCACAGAAGTATAGGAGCAATGTGGTTTTTGTTAAATGAGATGTGGAGCAAAATAAGTCAGGTGGGGCATTAAGACCTTTTCTGTTTGTTAGTCAAAATCCTGACTCCTTCACCACCAGTATAAATTGCTTTCATTTTATGTGAAAGATGCTGTGGATACTTCACTCACTAGTGTGAAATGGCATCAGATGTTTAAGAGTAGCTGTAATAAAAGAGACCTAATGGCTCACCAAGGAATCCCTGCTGTGCATTTATTTGTCTTCCCATTTTTGGAAAGATTAGTGAATTTCTCCTTTAATACCTCAAACTCCTACTCAGAACTTGCAGGAGAGAGCATAAAATTAATTTTTGTTTTGGGTCAGTTCGTGGTTGAAGATCTCCTCAAGGAGAAATGAAGCACATTTCTTTTTAAGAAGATGCAATTGCTTGAAGCCTCAGTGCCTGTGTTACTAAATCATAAGCATCAACAATTCCCATAGTAAAAAACCACAGAGGTTACCTGTGCGTCATTTCAAATACTTCTGTAGTAAAGTGAAACCTGAAGGTAACTTTGGAATACTGGTGTGATCCCAACCTATTTTACATTTTTGGTTTGCTTTGTAAGTAGGTTTCACAGGGGACTGACAACATACTGGTTTCTTAGTATTTCATTTCTCCATTTATAAAGTGCAAAATAAGGATTTTATTTATATTAGCATAGCAGCCTTCATTGTGTGCTGGAAATTACAGTATTGGTGGAGAATTACAGCACTGATTGTATAATAAAAATTGTTTTCTCTCAAAGCAAGCAATCTGTTGCAATCTGATAATAACAGACGTACTATAACTTACACAAGATGTGTCATCTCACTGATGTATCTTACGTATAGGAGTGAAAGACACATCATCATTGTCTAGAATGCAGTACAAAGCAGTTTTGACAACATGCTAGAAGTTAAAAATCTATATTTAAGTAGGTAAAATCTTACCTGATTGTTTATACTGGGTCACTGCTTATTGTTTCAGAGTATCTTATTAGCTGATAGAGGATGTGAACTGGAAAGAAAATGCTTATTATTGCTTGCAAGTATCCTGCTTTATGAGAACAATCGTTGTCATTCCCACCCAGACAACTGGGGCTTATAAACTTTGTGGGATTGGGTACTATCTTACTGCTTACTTCCAGCATAATTTGAGTCAGAATAAAGACTGGCTTGCCTTCATCACCAAAATACCTCAAGAAAATATTTTCAGTAAGTTTCCACATAGAATATTTTAGCGTTGTATTAAATTTGAAAGTCCTTGTTCAGCTGTTAAAATTTAGTGTACTCCACTTAACTATTAAGAAGTGAAACTGAGCTTGATGTCGTAATCATTGTACAGCTACTTCGAATTTAGAATGTATTGTTTGTAGCCAGTTGCCAGTGAAAAGTGAAAATTCCTCAGCAGTCATTGGAGTTTGACACTGTTGGGTATTAGTGAAATGTTAAAGCTATGCCCTTAGTTAAAATTTCACGTTGTATTAAGCATCTAATCATAATCTTGATTTTAAAGAACCCTTAAGAGCTGATCAAGAGATCATCGAACAAGTAGTTATTTAGATAAGCACTAGAGTATTTTAAGCCATTTGTCCTACACTCAAATGTTTCCCATTTTCTAATGACACTTCAGCATTTTTACAAAAATAGTTGGAAAGCGAGAGGTTAGGAATAGCTTATTTCTGATTTGGATCATGTCATTCCCTTCTAATGTCAAAATGCGATTATTCAGAATACCCATTAGTTTTTGGATGGGTGAGAGATCTTTCTGTCAATCACTTTCAGATGCATGTATTTTGGTGTGCATTCTTCAGCAAGTGCCAAGAGTTTAAGTAGAAAATTGTTACAGTTAGTGTTAAAAAACCTTTCAATGACATGCTGATAACTTTGTTACAAGGAAACACAGACATTGCAGGAAATCCTAGAATCTTTGCTGCTGTCTTTAGACATTCTGTGTCTCTTTGAAATTAAGTAAAGGGTAGAAGACTGGATCTGGTCAGCAGCAGTTGTTCTGGCAAGGATAAGTGTACGTTAAATATCCTCGTGTACACACCTTTAAAATAACATGATGCTATTAATTTGATACTATACCGTATCATAGGATATAACGGTGTGATAGGTTGTTTGATGGATACAGCTGTCGTGTTTGCATTCCAGTAAAAATCCATAAGCCTCATTCTGGAATACCAGTAGCTTTAAGAACAGCATAGACAGGATAAATGCACAAATTCTCACACTGGGTGTTTATACATCAGCAGTCAAAGGGTTTGGTTTTACTGTATCCTAAGACATCAAGCCAAATGGAGTTATTTTACATGACTGAAGGTTCTGGGTCTAACAGTATAATACACAGCATACATATGTGTATAACTGTATTATACTGGTAGTGCACACCCACAGCATGAAGTCGTATTTGCTCTGAAGAAACAACTCTGGTAATTCAGGTCATCAAATGAGCAGAAATGGAAGAATAAAATGTGTACATGAGTTTTTTAACTGTGTTGGTGCAAAGTCTTTTATTTCATGACAAGCAATGAGGGTAAGCTGTTTCCCAGTGCATCAAAAAGAAGGCCTGTATTGATTCCTGCTGATTTTGGGGGAAGCTGCACCATGATCTAGTCAGGTCCCCAGTCAGGACATATTTTGGAGCATAGGGGCCAACAGACTGCGCGTAATCAGAACTCAGACTTTCCAGGTGTACAAAGGAAGTGGGCAACAAACATGAGGTTTACAGTCTCTTTTCAAGCCCAATGAGTGTTCAAAACAGCCCATTTAATGTAGGCAAAACAATTTATTTTCTGCATTTTGTCTCTTGCAGGAAAGCATGCATGCTTATGCAGCAAATGTCTACACGTCTGTTGTAGAAGAGCTAATGAAAGGAAAGCAGCGCAAATTTATTGCTGTGGAACAGGAATTCTTTCGACTTTGGTGGGATGCGGTAGCCACAGATACACACAAGCAGCAGGTAAGTTGTACTAGAGCCGTGCTTCCTGCTAACAAAAAATCTGTGACCTTTTTCAGGGGACAAGGAAGGGCAAAGTGCTTCCCCATTTGCTTTTTACCCAGGTCTTGTGTAAGCTGTCTCTGAATCTGATACTTCTTGTGAAAGAAACATAACTCTAAAGGCAGTTGCAAGAGGTTAAAACTCCAGCTATAGATTAGAGCAGTAGGAGGTAGCAACCTTTGCACTGAAGACTCTTTAAACTTTGCAGTTTTTGTTTCATCAGTGACTGACTGACTTGGGGGCATGCTAGTATAAGATGTGGGTGATTCTGAAAGAGACTGTACTGATATCTGTACTGATATCTGTTAAATATCTGAAGCCTAACACTGCTCACAAGAAGGAACTTTTTTTCTTTCCAGTTAAGTACTGCTCAAAAACCTGCCATTCATAAACCAGGATGATGCAGCAAAGAGGTGACTGTAGACTCAACGTTTCTTTCCTAGTAAAGGCACTATGAAGTTTTATTTGGCACTTCTTTCCTCTGGCATGAAACAAACATGCTGAAATCAAAGACTGAGCTGGTAGCCTAACCAGTTAGTCATGCATTGCACTGCAGTGCAAGATGTTTAAGTTTTGGACCCTAAAAGCAGAGAGTATGCTGGTGCAGCTACCCATAGGTACTAACTTGGAACTCCATGGTCAGTTTTCTTACCAGGGTCCAGCCAACAGTAGTATATTACTTGCAGTACTTTATATTTCAGTTTGCTTAAAGTGCTAGATGTTTAAAGCATCATATGAAAAAAACGAAACCTCTTGTCTGGTTTTTGGGCTTTTTTAACCTTACTAAATTCTGAATCCATAACACGTGTACAGCTGATCTGTGTATGAGAGATTTCACTGTGTATAGACAGTTCACTGTTATTGTGTGGGCTCTTTGCCCATACTTGCCTGTTGCAGGACAATTTTCTTGTCGGTTTTTAGAGAACTGTACTTTAAGTCTTGGGTTGAGGAATTAAAGAAAATAGCATAGGAACTCGTTTGTGCAGGGACAGAAGAGTACGTTTAACTTTCTAAGGCAAGTTCATCTTATTTCAAGTATGTTATGCTGCTATAACCTAAATATAAAGGCCCAAGTCTCTAATATCTATTCTTGCTGTTATGTGGGATTCAGAAGAATAAGTGTGTGTCACATTTGACTTCAGTTGTGCAAAACTAGTACATATGAGTCACCCTTTAATTTTCTAGCCTAATTACTGATAATTGTTACTTTATGCATTTTTACTCAGTTCTCAAGTTACTTTGTAGTTGATTCTCTGAAAATTAAAATTATTAAACCAAATTGCTCTTATACCTGTATGTGTCAAACATTGAATCTTTAATAGTGTTTGACAGCTATGATGCTTGCTGGTAAGTGACATGTTTTTGTCATTAGCAAGTTGCAAATATTGGGCCTTGAAATTGGTTCGCTCTGGTTACTGTCCTGCTTTCTCCACTTGAGCTCTAGCATTAATGATTTTCTGTAGTACAGGCTTTCTGGTTTTAATTTTCCTATTTTATTCCTCCCCCCCCCCCCGCCTTTAGTGGTTTACTTGGAATACAGGATTTAATTTTAGTTTCTTTTGGAATGTCTGCTTCGGACTCAAATAATAGCATTTAAAACTAGTAAAAGGTACGGCCAGGTACTGAAGCTGATTTTGCAATTCAGACAGGGAGTGACATGTATTGCAGCAGTATTCAGACAGACATGAACCTCTTAGTTCTCAGTATATGTTATTTCCACAGTATTTTCTTGTGTGAAGAGTTCCTGTCACTTTACCCTGGCTTGATGCCTGGGTCTTTTAAATAGTGTAGCCGCTTCTATCTGGTTTTAGGGATGAGTTGATGTAAGTATAGTAGTAGGTGTCCCAAGGACCACAGGTATCTTCTGCTACTGTAGCAGCCTGCTGCTTGTAGTACTGCTGAATCTGTTTCCTCGGTTCCTCCTTCCTTTTGCCCAGTTCTGGTAAGCAAAAGTGGTTGTCATTAAAGACGTTTTTTTCCTAGGATTGGATATTAGTTAAATTAGTTGTATTATTTTTCTTGTTTTCACCCTGACAGTGGTTACAGAAAACTATTAAAAAAACATTTCCATGTCCCAAAGTTTGGATCACAGGTATCTTTTGGACATCCATCCAGATGGGGAATAATAGCCACAGATGCTTTTAATGTAGGTCAGGACCATTTCTGTGCTGACACCAGATATCAGTTATCTGGTCTCCCAGCATGCTAATCAGTCACCACAGTCAGCTAGAACTAATTTAGGAATGCTGAGCCCTGAAGCGTTTTCACAACATTGTGAACAAGAGAAATGATTATAATCAAAATTGACAATCTGGCATCGTATCTGAGCAGACACCGAAGGTTCCTGGGGAAATAAACATAATAGCTCTGGAACTGGCATCCTGCATGACAGATTTAAATAAATAAAAAAGGGGTGGGGGTTAAAGGACCTATTTATAAAAAATTCCTTTATATAAACTTTCTTCGTTGAAAGTTCGAGCTATCTTTGAAGTTTTAGGTAGTGAAGTAACTATAATAAAAACAGAAGACTCCCTAACACTTCTAGAAAGGGACACAAACTATTACTCACTCCCTCCAAACCACCACCCTACACTTCCTCTAGCACATTTGCTAAAAGTTGTACTTGTCAGCATACAGTCTTTCATAGCATACAAGCAGTACATGTTTGGAATTTAATACATGTATGCAGTTCAAGCATGCCTGTTTCTAGTTTAAAATGCATGCCTGTTTAAAAAAAAAAACCTTGAATAGCTGAACAAGTCATAATATATTGACAATTTTTAAACTAGGAAAAAGGGACCAGAATGAAAGTTAGCAGCGGGTTTATCAGGCAGGCAAACCTGCTACATGTGAAAGAACTATTTCTTAATATACCATTCTGTCTGTCACAAATTGAGCAACCTGTCTGTGCTTTGAAGGCAAGGCAGATGCATACAGAACAGAAGGGATATGTTTGTGGCCACAGGGTGATGGTAGACCATCTCTCTCCTAGATCCCATAAATCTCAGTTTTCAAACTGTTACAGAAGTAGTAGACTAAAGGAAACCCTGGAAGCCTCGCCGTTGCTGCTTGCATGGGTGTCCTGGGTTCAGCAGTAGCAATCATTTTTTCTCCTTCTTAGTAGCTGGTGCAGTGCTGTGGTTTTGACTTTCGGCCTGGGAACAGTGCTGATAACACCAATGTTTTTAGTTACTGCTCAAAGTCTGACCAAGGACTTTCTGAGTCTCATGCTCTGCCAGGGAGGAAGGGAAGCCGGGGGGAAGCAGAGACAGGACACCTGACCCAAACTAACCAAAGAGGTATTCCATACCTCAGCATGTCATTCCCAGGATGTAAACTGGGAGTTACCCAGAAGGGCTGACTCACTGCTTGATTAGGCTGCCTATCGACAGGTGGTATTGTATTCTCTTCCCTTGTTATTTCCCTTATCATTATTATTATTGGTCGTAACAGTAGTGATCTGTGTTATACCTTAGTTGCTGGACTGTTCTTATCTCAACCCATGGGAGTTGCATTCTTTCGATTCTCGTCCCCGTCCTTCCGGGAGCGGGGGCGGAGGGAAGAAAGCGGGGGAGTGAGCGAGAGGGCTGCATGGTTCTGATTTACAGGCTGGGCTTAAACCACGACAATGGGGCTGCATGTTATTCTCTCATCGAGCCACCCAGTGTCTTCACTAAGCCAAGACAGATGCAGCAGGAAGAAGACTTTGGGAGCAGCACTAGTATCTTCTGCTATCTAGTAGCACTAGTATCTCCATCTCTAGTTGTCTTGAGGTAGTATCCTAGACTGCTGCAGTGCAGTGTTATAGGGACATGTCTGCTGTTTAGACAGTATAAAGGCACAGTAACAGCTCTACTGAGAAACACCAGAAGTTTAGGGTCTACCTGACAGTACATCCTTTGTGCTTGCTACCTGGTTTCAGTGTAAACTGGGTAAATCAGTGCACTGTGCAGCACTTAGCACTTCACTTTCCTTCTGATAGCACTCAGGCCTTTTATCCCACTTTTGTCCTGGATGCCTTCCTGACAAGTTTTGTGTCTGGGTGATGTGCTGTGATCTGAAACGAATTTGCAGCCTTTTTGGATAAGACTGAAATGATGGTTATGCTTTGTGCCTTAATTTCAATATTGTAGGTTCATCAGTTGCTTCAGGAGGGACGACTGGAATTTGTCATTGGAGGGCAAGTGATGCATGATGAAGCTGTGACACTAATTGATGATCAAATTTTACAGTTGACGGGTATGCATGTTTGCATTTAACTTGTACTTTTCATTGTTATGACCTTGGGGGGTTTGTTTGTTTTTCATTCCTCCACCCGAAGATTGCTATTATTTTCTTACTCTTTAAGAGCTCATTAAAGCAAGTCTTACTTCTTACTTGCTGGTGGGTTATCTGTATAAAAATCTTTGCTTAAAAAAAAAACAATTCAACAGTTCTGCAGTAAGGAGAAGGGTTATTGAAAGCTGTCTTGCAGTTTAATTAATGTCAGTTATAAACTCCTTTGAAGAGCACAGCCTTTTGTGTGTGTGTGTATTTGAGAGCTTAAGGTCCTGGGAAGACAGTTATGGCAAAATTGAAGATATGAAATACTCTGGTAGAAAATAACTGGTAGCAATTAAGAGTGTAAGGAGATTGTATTGTTTAGAAACAGAAAGTCCTCTGCAGAATACAGGCTACAGAACGTCACTGAGATCATCTGAACTTAGTTGAAAGACTTGCTTGATGAAGAAACCCCCTTTTTGTAATCATGATCACCAGCCTCTGTAGAAATAGATGCATATTTCCAAGAGATGCACTACTTCCCATTTTAATCTGTAAGCTTCTGCTTCCAGCAATTTATATGTTATACTTCTCATCTGATGGTCTAAAGTGTCTTTTAGTATTTAGATTTATATCCATCTGGTTAATGAAAAAAAACAGGATAAGTCATGCCACCACTGTGCTATAGATGTCATGAGGGAATAGCATAGTTTTGGGGGCAGGAGGGGATATATTAGCACCAGCAGTCTGTCATCATTCATGTAAACCCTGCCTAGTTCAGAGCTACACTCTGGGCAGCTTTCTACATAGGAGAGTAAAGAGTCAGAAAACACATTTATCATTTGCTGAATCTGACTGTGCAGCACCACTGACATTGTTCCTCATCTGTGGGTGTTTATCAGGAGCACAGGGAGAGCAGCAACTTTTGTATCTCAGTCACCACAACACATTCTGGCTGAGAGGAAGAGAGAGGATGAACATATTTTTTCTCATCTGACTCCTGTGTTTAAAGGTTGTTATATGGGCTTAGTACACTGAACCTAGACTTCTCCAAAGAACACACTAATATTAACTGAAGACTCCTATTGTTAAATGCAAATGCAGCTTTTTCTTTCATTAAATTTAGTTGCAAAAAACATTAATTTAATATTTCATTCTGTGTGTAAACAGGTTTTTTTGAAGACAATTCAGGTTAGGTAATTTATTCAGCAGGAACAAAAAATATTAATAGATTTTAAAATTCTCATTTATTTGTCCTGAAAGCACTCCACTCAGGTTGAGTACATACAATCAGTCGTACACACAATATGTCCTTGTACTGTGTGTGGAGTTCATCTTGAGAAGGCAAGGACAGTACAGACATTTGGGATATACATTTCACGTCTCCTCCTGCCTGTTCAGCTACCCGAGTTTTGGAAGAGCCTTGCAAACTTTGTTTAAAATATGGTTCAGTCAGGAGAGTTAAAACAAACACATTTTGAGTATTTCCGCTAGAGAGTATTACCCGTAGGAAAGATGAAGTGAAAAGAGAATGCCTTGCAACCTCAGTTATTCAAATGTGATATTAAAATTTGGAATGGAGTTAGTCCAAAATAGGGAAAATGGGGTTGTATTTTCAAATAGTTCTGAGCATGATTCCAGACCTATGAAATTAAGATCAACAAATTTATATTATATTTTTTGATGAGGCGGATCCTAGCGTGATATACTAGAGTTCTGAATAAAACCTGCTGCTTAGCTGGTTGTTCTATTTTCATTTAAATGGTTTGTCCAAATTTCTTGTCTGGTCTTTCTAGTTTGGGGGTTGCTTTTTTTGAAACTCATTTCAATACAAAATTAATAACATTGGTTGGAAATAACATATTAAGATTGCAATTAACTTTTGGCTTCTTTCTTCTTTTTACAGCTGAAGATTGTATTCATATTAGTTTTGTTTACTGGATGGCTTCCTTGTCCCTTTGTTGTTGATATGAGACTCAGATTTTCTGAGAATGGGTGGTATAATTTAGGCAAACATAAATTAGACCCCAGAATGTTGTTTTTATGCAGCCTCCAACATGGCTATTAGTTTTAACCTAATCTGTATCTAAGTACTTTTTCCCAGGCCTGTCTCTAATCATAATTCCTTTTTGTTATTCATCTTCTATGATGTTAATAAGTTATACTTGCAGAGCAAAATAAATATTGTCAGTGTGAAACTTTCTGCTGTGAATCATTAAATTCCTGAAACTTTAAATGCTTTGGAAAACAGCAACAAAGAGCTAACCTTCAACTGCCTATCTGTAATAGTGTATGCCTAGTAAATTTATAAAATGAACTTACAAAAGTGTTCCTAACATAAACAAATCTTGTTTTGCAGAAGGCCATGGATTTTTGTACGAAACTTTTGGGATCAGGCCTCAATTTTCTTGGCATGTTGATCCTTTTGGAGCTTCAGCTACAACGCCAACTCTTTTTGCTCTGGCTGGTTTTAATGCTCATCTTATTTCTCGGGTTGACTATGATCTGAAGGCTGACATGCAGAAAACTAAGGTAAGAATACCCATAGAAGTGTAACCCATTACCAGTCTCTATTTACATGAAGTTAAGATAAGCATCTCTCAGCTCTATGCAAGGAAATGTGGGTATTTCTCTTCTGAAAGTGACATGCTGATTGCATATGTTAATGGTGAAATATACTGAGTCTGTATAATAATATGGTCAGGTACTGTCTTCATGATTTCTCATTAAAGATAAAATGCAATCTAGGCTGAAGAAGATGCAAAATACAGCCAGTTGGGCAAGGCTAAGTTGGTTACAGTGTTGTCATGTTTGGGACACTTATTTGTTCCTAAAATTGATAAGTCAGTTAGAGTGGCAACTAATCATGTTTTTACCAAATTCAGTTTTGTTTCTTGTTCTGCCTTCTCTCACACTGCTTCCCATGCACAGTAAATGTTTTTCTTTTCCTACCACAGTGTTGGACCCTGGTCTGTCAGCAGTTATACACTAAATTATGTGAAAATAAGGGGCTGTCACTAGTCTGAGGTAGACATTAGGCGATTTTTATGTATCTTGGGTGAAGCTCGAGTGTCTCTGAAGAAGACAACAGAACCGTAGAATATGGTGAAGCCAGGACCTCCCACCTTATGTTTGCAGTGGATTGTGATACTTCTTTTCTCCTGAAATCTTTTATGAGCTTTTAACAGTCTTTTCCCATTGGTTGTTTGGTTTTTGTGGTTTTCTTTTTTTTTTCCCTGGCACCTGACAGTCTGGAAGCTTCCAAAACTGTACAAATTCTGTTTCAGTTGATTAAACATTGATTCCCATTGACTACAGTGCAATTCAGATCACATCTGGATCTTTCTTAGTTTATAGGCGTTCAAGTCCCACTGAAACAAGTGAGGTGTATTGCCTGTGATAAGCTAGGATTACATCTGGATTTTAGCAGTAAGCTGGCAGCAGGCTGCCTCCTCTTCTCCATCAGTATGAATAGCGAGAGGCAACACAATAGCCTCCTATACATAATATGTGACCTTGCTTGGGGTACTATTGGCTGGTCTCAAGTAAGAACATCTAAAGTATTACAAGTGCTGGAAGTGAAGATGGGCAATCTGAAGTCTTAAGTTGTTAATGATGGTATTCTGTCCTTGTCATCAAGGGTAATGATTTCTTACCTTTTTTGTTTTCCAGAAACTTCAGTTTGTATGGCAGGGCTCTCCTTCCTTATCTGAAAGACAGGAGATCTTCACCCATGTTATGGATCAGTACAGCTACTGTACCCCATCTCAAATACCTTTTTCAAACAGGTCTGAAGATTCCTAAATAGACAGAAATACTGATCACTTCTGAGAGTTTATACTGGTGGAGTTTAAGTATTTTCTTTGCCTGTTTTCATTCAGCAGTATTCTACTTTTTTCTCCTACCTATAGTAGGCCAAGGAGATTCCTAGACTCTGTAGGTCTGAATCAGGATTACAAAGTATCCCCAGCTACCCACAATAATACATGGAGTTTGCTCAGTTCCTAACAATGGAATGCTCAAAAGTGGCACTACTGATAGGAACTAAAAGTACTTCAAAATAATTGACAGACTTAAGCATAATGTTTTCTAGCACCAAGAAGCTTGGAACACAGGTACAACTTTGAGGTATATATATAATGTCAGTCCTTATAAAACAGAATAAAAATGTGAAACAAATCAGTTGCTGTAAACAGGAAATGTCCAAAGCAGGACTGGGTTTCTGTTTCCCTGTCTGGAAAAATGCCAGGAAACTCAGTATTGGCTTGGCTATTGCCAATTGATTTTCTGTGGGAGATTTTCAGCATTATATTGAGCTAAGATTGTGTATATCAACTGTGTACAAACTAAAGTGACTAAAAATTTCCATTTACTTTGTGAAGAAAATCCGAGATCTTCTGAAATGTTTATTTTGATCACTGGCTTATCCAGTAAAATACTGTGTAAATGAAGTCTACTTAGGGGAACATCCCCATTGTTACAAAGCTTGCTGTTTTGTCCTACAAGTTCTTTGTTCTGTGCCAGCAAGCAGCAGGGACTTGGAAAGTTGCACAGTGCAAAAAGAAAACTAGACCTTCTCCCTGCCCCCCACACCCAAATAAACACTAAAACCCAAATACTAGCAATTAATATAAACTGCTTTTCTTTTGCTTCTTATTCCCTGTGTGTCTGCATTTTATCCCAGCACCATTTCATGTGTTTTTCCCAATTGAACAAATCCTGTTCATAGCCTGCTGCTTTCTCCTTCTACTTAGGTCAGGATTTTATTGGAATGGAATTGCAACTTTCCCAGATCCACCAAAAGATGGTATTTATCCAAACATGAGTCTCCCTGTCACAGATACTAACATCCATCTGTATGCACAAACCATGGTGTCAAACATTAAGGAGAGAGCAGCCTGGTTCCGAACAAGTGATGTTTTGTGGCCATGGGTAAGTGCCCAGTGATCACATGGGTAAGTGATCAGCATTTGCTTTGGAAGTGGCATGTGCACCTACAGCGTGGAGAGCAGGTACATGGTACTTTGTTGCTGTATGTACTGCAAAAATGCAGGTACAAATTATATGATGGAAATTGCTTTTCTAATAAGTGGGCTCCAAATGAATAATTAAGACTGATTTTTAAAAGCTAGAACTTCCTTCTGCAGTCTCCCAGTTCTTTACCAAATCTTCCACCCTACTTAATATAGAAAAAAAATGTGACAAGATTGTGAAGATTACCTCCTGCAAAACTATATTTTGCAGTACTGCTCCCCATTTTGCTCCCCTTGATTTGTGTATTTAAATATCTCTTTACATAAATGCCTAGCATAACATAACTCTATGTTAACAAAAATGATAGCATTAGAAGAAAATGTATTGCCCATTGGGTAGACAAGGTCTTCTATAACTGATTGGTAATCATTTTCTCATACAGTCTTCATATTTTAGTTAGAAACTGAAGCATAGCCCAGCTTGGTCATCCAAACACTTTTTTCAGCAATATTCTGTGTTAATTAGATCCTACATGTACACGTAGCACTGATATGCTCTCACAGGTTTTACATCCTTAGGAAACAGTAACTTTTCCTAAACTGAATGTAGAGTCTGGTTTTTAATTTACATCGATGCTGTAGGTCTCATAATTACAATATTGAAGGAGGACGTGTGTGGCTGTTTCACCACAATATCTGTTGTTGCAAAGAGAACAAATGTTTTCTGACTGGTGCAGCTCTGAGTCACTGATTTGTTTTTCCCCTGTGTTTGTGACAGTTGCTTATGTTGATTTTTATTTTTGTTCTAAGAGGGTGAAGGGAGAAGTAGGATATAATACTCTGCAGTAGTGCTATGTTGAAATGGGGAGGAAGTTTTGAATAGTACAAATAAATTCCAAACGTCTAGATCCAAACCTGCAGTTTTGCAGTAATACAAGAAAATTTCAACCTCTGACTTCCTGATTTGTGTGCTTGTGCTAATGAGTTTTAAACAAAGTAATACAAGTTTGTTATTCATTCATAATGCTATAAGGAAGATCTTTACTATGAGGGTGGTGAGGCACTGGAACAGGTTGCCCAAAGAAGTGGTAAATGCTCCATCCCTGGAAGTGTCCAAGGCCAGGTTAGACAGAGCCTTGAACAACATGGTCTAGCATGAGGTGTCCCTGTGCATGGCAGGGGGATTGGAACTAGGTGATCTTAAGGTCCTTTCCAACCCAAACCATTCTATGATTGTATGTAAAGACATAGAAATAGACACACTGTTATTCCATGTCTGTATAACTAAGCTTAGCTAGTTTTTTCATGATTACAATACTTTGGAGTATGTGGATTTATTGTTTTTTTTTTCCCCTTCAATTAAAATCAAGAATTACACACCTTCCCATTGAAATTCAGACCTCACATGTAGACTATTGGGACTTTTCTGATGAATTACGTGGATAAACAGGTATTCATTCATGATTTGAATCACCTTGTTGTGCAGGAGAAGTCACTGAGCTATGGGACAGCATAAAAGTTCAGACCTGCCTTTCTGGAGGCTACAGCAGCAGATATATTTTCTTAAGGGCTGGATCTCATCCTTGAGGCATCTTTTGGCCTGTGTGGTTGAACTAACTGTAATGTATAGCATTCCTGTGCAAAGTACTTTTCATATAGTGAGTGGATGTGATGATTGACTACAGCAGGTTCTCCTGGATATCCTTGCTCTACAGAGCTACGCTACTCCTCAGCTACTGTTTTATGTCAGTGTGAGCATCATCTAGGAGCCCAGCATGTCCCCTTCTGTAGTGCAAAGTATCTACTTTTGATGAGGAAGTCTTCTTGGATCGTGAGTTGAAAGTAGTGCTCTGTAAATGTGAAGTAGTTTTGACTGGTAAACATATTACTTCCTTCCCTCAAATTTAGTTGGAGTCAGCATTAGGAAGCCTGGTTTGCACTGGCTGAGGCACTTTTCAGTGTGTGATTTAATGTTTTAATAGCTCATTCCAGTTTGAAGTTGTTTCCCAGTTTGTGCTGTATGCATACAGAAGATCTCTGGGTTGAAGAACTTTTCTGGTTTGAAAGTGGAATATCTCGAAACATCTAGTAAATGGGGAAGTGATGGGGGATAGCCCTCTCATCTGGGAAAGAAGGGAGAGTATTTGCGTTTGAGTTCGATTGAACTCATCAGGTTCAACTCATTCAGCTCATCATCAAGGTAAAGGTTGAATTGAAAGATGGGATTGCAGAGAAAACAGAAACTCCTTGACTGTTTTTTCAAAACATCTGCTAAAACTTTTTCAAAACATCAATCCAAACTGTTGAGACCATCTTTATTTTGAAAATGATATCAGAGGTTTATGTGGCCTACACAGCAAAGTGTTGACTTCTTGTACAATGATTTCTTTCTCAAGCACAGAGACATGAAGGCATCAGTATTGGCCTTTTTATGTGGAAAAGGTTTCTTAGCATGTTATTGTGCTTCAAATCAATGTCTTTACTGTAATACTGATAACTGAAGAATACACGTGGTGCCATGGCTGAGTAACACTTTCATTTTCCTGTTTGACTGCTGTAGTTGAACAAAGTTATGCTTAGTTAAACAATTTTTTAAACACTTGCATGTGCAATCTGTGTTGAAACAGAAAGCAGAAGTTATATATAATAAATAAAAGAATAAAAGAATCATAGGATAGTTAGGGTTGGAAAGGACCTTAAGATCATCTAGTTCCAACCCCCCTGACAGGGGCATGGACACCTCACACTAAACCATGTCACTCAAGGCTCTGTCCAACCTGGCCTTGAACACCACCACAGATAGAGCATTCACAACCTCCCTGGGCAACCCATTCCAGTGCCTAACCACCCTTACAGGAAAGAACTTCTTCCTTATATCCAATCTAAACTTCCCCTGTTTCAGTTTTAACCCGTTACCCCTTGTCCTATCACTACAGTCCCTAATGAAGAGTCCCTCCCCAGCATCCCTATAGGCCCCCTTCAGATACTGGAAAAGCTGCTATGAGGTCTCCACGCAGCCTTCTCTTCTCCAGGCTGAACAGCCCCAACTCTCTCAGCCTATCTTCGTAAGGGAGGTGCTCCAGTCCCCTGATCGTCCTCATGGCCCTCCTCTGGACTTGTTCCAACAGTTCCATGTCCTTTTTATGTTGAGGACACCAGAACTGCACACAATACTCCAAGTGAGGTCTCACAAGGGCAGAGTAGAGGGGCAGGATCACCTTCGACCTGCTGGTCACGCTCTTTTTGATGCAGCCCAGGATACAGTTGGCTTTCTGGGCTGTGAGCGCACATTGAATGCGGCTCATGTTCATTTTCTCATCAACCAACACCCCCAAGTCCTTCTCAGTAGGGCTGCTCTGAATCTCTTCTCTGCCCAACCTGTAGCTGTGCCTGGGATTGCTCTGACCCAGGTGTAGGACCTTGCACTTGGCATGGTTAAACTTCATGAGGTTGGCATCAGCCCACCTCACAAGTGTGTCAAGGTCCCTCTGGATGGCATTCCTTCCCTCCAGGGTATCAACCGAACCACACAGCTTGGTGTCATCGGCAAACTTGTTGAGGGTGCACTCACTCCCACTGTCCATGTCACCAACAAAGATGTTGACCAGGACCGGTCCCTCACCGATCCCTGAGGGACACCACTCGCTATTGGTCTCGAGCTGGACATTGAGCCATTGACCACAACTGTTTGTGTGTGGCCATCCAGCCAGTTCTTTATCCACCGAGTGGTCAAGTTGTGCAAGCATACTTTAAAAGAAGCTTTAATACACAGTGTATCACCTCTCAGCTATTTGGATGAGTACTATAGTCTACTGTCATGAAGGGAGATCAGCAGCACATTGTGTGACATTTGTACTACAGGAATCTCTGTCTGGATTGTTTTGTATCACGTCATGTCCTCAGCACTTCCTAAAGCTGTAAGCATTCTTAAGAGCAGAAAATAAGAACTTCCTCATTTTTTTTGCTAAGTGGAAGAAATGCAGTCTGAAAAGAAACAAAGTTTATCTTTCCAGGCATGTATGTGTGCATTTTTCCAATTCCTACCATGAAATTACATGCTGTTGCATAATATGGTGTATCAACACACTTCTCCCTATCTGTAAGGCTTGTTGGTTATCAGCTGATCTGTGCAAGTAACCCTACCTGATCTTGACATTTCTGTAGCAAATAACTTTTATATGAGCAGTCAAGATCAAAAGAAATAGTGTTTTATCGTAGGTTAGTGTCAAAAGAGATCCTTCTAAATTACATGACCCAAAGTCATTTGGCTGTTCTGTTTTTGGAATTTCAGGGCTGTGATAAACAGTTCTTCAATGCATCTGTTCAGTACTCCAACATGGACCTGTTGTTGGATTATATTAACAAGCATTCTGCTGAGTTTGGAGTGACTGTCCAGTATGCCACTGTTGGTGATTACTTCCAAGCGGTTTATAGCAGGAATCTCACATGGGAAATTCATGACTCTCAAGACTTTCTTCCATATTCAACAGGTAATTTAAGTTCACAACTGCATAATGTCTGCCTCAAATGTACAAATTTAAAATCGTAATAAAGGGAAATAGAGAAAATGAGAAACAAAGCAAAAAAAAAAGAAAAAACAACCAAACTTCTTTTGTAACATTTATTTACAGTACAAAGCACAGTGCACAAAAACCCTGTAGTCTCTTAGGTGATCTGCAGTATTAGATGTGCATGTTATGCCTCTCCTCTTCCCCAGAAATGAGTTGTAGTAAGGACAGAGTGCTCTAGGATCCAGGGAATGGAAAGGAAACTGGCTAACTGAAAGATACCTAGAAACAGATGGATGCAGAGCCAAATAAAACAATGTCCTAATATTACTGTTCAAATGAACTGGATTATGCATAGATTAGAGAAGACATGGAGTCCTGGGTTTTGCTGAGATAGAGTTAATTTTCTTCTTAGTAGGTGATGCAGTGCTGTGTTTTGGCTTTAGCTTGAGAACAATGTATAACACATAGATCTAAGTTACTAAGTGGCTCTTACCCTGATCAAGGACTTTTCAGTCTCTGATGCTCTTCCAGTTTGGAGGGGCACAAGAAGCCGTGAGAGAGCAGAGACAGGACACCTGACCCAAGCTAGCGAAAGGGGTATTCCATACCACAGCACCTCATGCCCAGTATAGAAACTGGGGGGAGTCACCCAGAAGGGACCCCTCGCCACTTGAGTCAGGCTGGGTGTCGGTCAGTGGGTGATGAGCAATTGTGTTGTGCATCACTCGGTTTATTCCTTTCTTTATTTCCTTTTATTGTTGCTTATATGTTAAACTACACGATTAAGCCCCTACAGATGGGAAACGTGACATGACGTAATCTGCGAATGTCTGAAGGAGAAGCAAGGCAGGTAACCCAGGGACCAAAGCAGTCTGAAAGCTCTTAGGGTACTTTGTTAATACAGTGGAATAGGAGTGGTCAAAGTGAAGCAGTTGCTGCTGAGGATTTGGTGGCCATGCTCTATGTAACTCCAGGAATATTGGATATAATCTGGACTAAGTGCCCATTAATGCTGGTTATATACCATCCAGTCCTTAAACTCCAGAGCTAATCTTTTGTATAAGGCAAAGCATAGCAGGTAAGGATGGCTCATAAATTCACTTGAAAAACATGTTCCTGATCCAAGCAAAATACTAATGTAGATGAATCCCTAAAGTCTCTTGTCGGAGAAAGTCTTGTCAGTTTTGTTAAATAAAACAGTTTTAAATTCTAGGGGGGAGGAAAAAAGAAGTGTTATTTATAACTGAAGTCTCAAAAAGTAAAAATACCACCTGTATTTCTGAAATATCATAGTATGATGTGACACACATTCATTGCAGCTGCTTGTCGCTTGCTTATGTGCTGTACTATGTTAGCTCTTCGAGCACAGCTGAAAAGTACTGGGAAGATAGGAAAGATGGCATGCCATACCCAACACCCTTTCAATCATTTTTCCAAGTATATTTACCCTTTTAGGCCTCATTTAAGTATGTGGAGAGAAGACACAGCTAAGTTCTCAGTTTCTAAACTCATTAATTTGCTTCATTGCCTGGATTATCATTAAAATATCATTGGTATCATTAATATAGCTGTCTATATAATTGCAGCTGCTTCATCACATTTTTTGGCACTTGGGTTGTGTATCTCAGACTATTCTGTAACATGTCTGTTAACTTTTCAATGAATAAAAATAACCATTGCTTCCTGTGAATCATTGCATAGGCTGATCCCTGGCTCACTTGCCTCCCTTTAGGGATCATGTCATATCTAACAATTTGCGGATAAATGTATTGCTAGTTTTAACTGCTAATATCCTCTTACATCTGGGCTCTTGCCTCTGTCTTTCTGGCATAATTTACAGGCAGTAGGCAATTGCTATTAGCTTGCATAATGGCAGCACCTTGAGTGTTCCAGGTGGGTGCCCACACATGGATGCAATTTCTTCCCCAAACGGCTTACTGTGCCTAGCAATTGCAGTATAGATTCGAGTGCACTTTCTCCCACATACTGTTTTGCCTCTTGATGATTAATCCTCTCTCATTCTTTCTATGCCGTCTTATTATGAGTCACTTATTGGGCTTAGTGTCATTTCTGGCGTATGCCTTGGAAACTCAATTTTTAAATCTCAGGTAAGTATTTCCACTTTCTGCTCTACATTCATTGTTCTGTACTAGTGTGCATGTGGGACTCCTCTGCTGGTAACCTTGAGAACTGAAATGGAGTTCATTGTGTTCAAACTTCTAGCCTTTTTAGGCCAAAAATAGTTTCACCTTTAGTTTTTGAGCAAAAGATCCCATTTTCCAGTTGTTGCCTTTGATCCTTGATAGCAGATTGTTATGGTTGCATGTATGCACTTCTGAAAGCACTTTCTGCAGCTTCCCCCAAAACCAACCAAACCTCCCCACACTAAGTAGAGATTTGGAGGTTTTAAAATCAAATACTTGTTTTCCTAGTTTACTCTCTGGGGTACTGGAAATACTAACTGTTGAAATACTTTCTACTGACCACTTGAGGGCATCTTTTGATGTACTTTGAAGTGCTGCAGTGGTTTGGAGTCGTGTTACAACATCGCTGTTTCTACTCCTTTTTGAGGAAATGAAATTTGAGATAAATCCCTTTGACTAAAAGAGGGAAATGCAGAGAGATTGTATCAAGCATTAACCAAGGATTATAATCCACTTATTGATACATAATAAAATACGCTTCAGTGAAACTTCTGAAGTTGTTCTGTGCAGGTCCACAAAGAAATTTCTGCAAGCACAGGTTAACTTAGTTGGTAATGGCTTTGAATCAACAGTCATGTTACTAGGCCTGTAGTAAAGATTGTAGTTCTCCAAAGTGCACTTTTATGGCTGTGTTTCTTTGTAGGGTTAATGAATATTCCATTTGATGGAATTACAGACCAGTCAGTCTCACCTCTGTGCCTGGCAAAATCCTGGAGCAGATTCTAGTGGAAGGCATGCTAAGGCACATGAAAATCAACAAGGTGCTTGGTGACAGCCAGCATGGCTTCACTAAGGGGAAATCCTGCCTGACCAATTTGGTGGCCTTCTATGATGGGGCTACAGAACCGATGGAGAGGGGTAGAGCAGTTGATGTCATTTACCTGGACTTGTGTAAAGCATTCGACACTGTCCCACACGACATCCTTGTCTCTAAATTGGAGCGACATCAATTTGATGGATGGACCACTCGGTGGATAAAGAACTGGCTGGATGGCCGGACACAAACAGTTGTGGTCAATGGCTCAATGTCCGGCTGGAGACCAATAGCGAGTGGTGTCCCTCAGGGATCGGTGTTGGGACCGGTCTTGTCATTGTCGCTGACATGGACAGTGAGACTGAGTGCGCCCTCAGCAAGTTTGCCGATGACACCAAGCTGTGTGGTCCGGTTGATACCCTGGAGGGAAGGAATGCCATCCAGAGGGACCTTGACATGCTTGTGAGGTGGGCTGATGCCAACCTTATGAAGTTTAACCATGCCAAGTGCAAGGTCCTACACCTGGGTCAGAGCAATCCCAGGAACAGCTACAGGTTGGGCAAAGAAGAGATTCAGAGCAGCCCTGTTGAGAAGGACTTGGGGGTGTTGGTTGATGAGAAAATGAACATGAGCCGCCTTCAATGTGCGCTCGCAGCCCAGAAAGCCAACCGTATCCTGGGCTGCATCAAAAGGAGTGTGACCAGCAGGTCAAAGGAGGTGATCCTGCCCCTCTACTCTGCTCTTGTGAGACCTCACCTGGAGTATTGTGTGCAGTTCTGGTGTCCTCAACATAAAAAGGACATGGAACTGTTGGAACAAGTCCAGAGGAGGGCCACGAGGATGATCAGGGGACTGGAGCACCTCCCTTAGGAAGACAGGCTGAGAGAGATGGGGCTGTTCAGCCTGGAGAAGAGAAGGCTGCATGGAAACCTCCTGGCAGCTTTTCCAGTATCTGAAGGGGACCTATAGGGATGCTGGGGATGGACTCTGTAGTGATAGGACGAGGGGTAACGGGTTAAAACTTAAACAGGGGAAGTTCAGATTGGATATAAGGAGGAAATTCTTTCCTGTTAGGGTGGTTAGGCACTGGAATGGGTTGCCCAGGGAGGTTGTGAATGCTCCATCCCTGGCAGTGTTCAAGACCAGGTTGGACGAGGCCTTGGGTGATACGGTTTAGTGTGAGGTGTCCTTGCCCCTGTCGGGGGTTGGAACTAGATGATCTTAAGGTCCTTTCCAACCCTAACTACTCTATGATTCTATGATGCTATGTTAAACCTACATCAGGTTTCATGTAAGAAGCTGTACCATACTAGTCTAATAAATAACATATAAGTGATAACTGAAATGGTATTATGACATGTTGGATCTGTTCAACTCTTAACAGAGCCATTTCAAGCATGGACTGGGTTTTATACTTCTCGAAGCATGTTAAAAGGAATTGCAAGGAGAGCAAGTTCACTGCTTTTCGCTGGAGAGTCCTTTTTCACACAGTATGTCCAGAAACATCCAGCAGGCTCTATTTGCAAATGTAAAGCCTTAAAGCAACTTCAGAGCCTTAGATGGGCAGTTTCAGAGGTAAAGATTGATTTTTTAATTTGAATGAAAATGTTAATTGCCCACAAGCAAAGCTTTCCTTAAGAGTTTCAGCTGGAGTGTCTTGAGGTTGCTTTTATGTTTTTAGAAAAAAAAATTCCCTTTAGTAAGTCATAAGTAAAAATAAAGCAGTTCTTCAAAAAACAGTCTTGAAACATGACTTTAGTCCCTTAGCCATGCATTCAAGACATGGTTACTGGCAAATGTTTTCTTCAGCCAGTGAAAGAATATGTGGTTTCAAACTTTACATGTAATATTCTTTTCCTTAATGTTAATTTTATCATTTACAAAATGTTTTTTTAAATAATTAAAAAACTAAAGTTAGAAAAGGAAGGACAGATTGGTTTCTTCAAAGTTCAGCAGCTGAGTGATCAGCCTCATACCATCAACCATTTACAGGCCTCAGTGCTTTTGCTGGTAATAAATATTTATTCAGCTAAGTTATTGACCAGACCTTAGAAGGAAATGAAAAACCTGCCTTGCTATGGTATTTTTGCTCCATTCTTACTTTTAGTAAGTTGTATTTTTTTCCTCCAAGTATGTAACTAGTAATTTCTAAATATTAAAATAGGAATATATAGAGAGGGAAGTCTGTGTGCATCTGGTCTTTGACCAATTTGTTCTATTTATTGAAATTTGGAATAGGTAAAATGTTCAAACTGTGAATATAGCTTATTAAGTTCTCTGACTGAAGGTTAGTGGACCATGTTAATACAAATGAAAACCTGAAGTTGTCGTCCTCTTACATTGTAACCTTTCAAACTGCCCTTAAATGTAAGGTCCAGCACCATGATGGTATAACAGGCACAGAGTCTCCCAAGGTGAAGGACATGTACATGAACAACTTGATGTATGGAATGTTCAACGTAAAGAAGCTAATGGCTTCCATAATCTTTGACATGAACAATGCAAAGAAGAACGGCAAGGTCTATTCTTCTGTCTACATTAGAGACTCAGGAATACCAGGTACTTTTTACACAGCTTCTCCAATTTTACGGCTAGCTCATGAAAACTTACTGTGTTTTCCTCCAAAATAATCAACATGCTATGTACCACTTAAGTTCTGTGAACCACAGCTGGAAAATCCTGTTTGCTTTATGAGATCTGCCAGACCTGAGGCAACTCTACCCCACTGTGTGTATTAGACCTGGCTCTTAGAATCAGATCTCAACTGTAAAACAGAGGGAAGAGGTGCTGATTGGATTAATTACTAAACTAACCCTACTGTGCAGCAGAAGATTACATAGTAAGAAGTACAGTCACAGTTAAGAAATGTTCTTCCTATAATTTATTGCCAGCTTGTGTAAAACATATAAAAGAATTTTTAAGGAGTCTATGACAAAGACTGTACATTCTCTTTTACTTTGGAAACTTTTTAACTGTCAAATATAAGCAGTGTCATGGGCTGCACAACAGACTGGTTAGGCTTTTTTCAGGGTTGTTTTTAGATTAGACTTCCCATTTGATCTTCTGTATATCTCTGATAAAGTTAATACTGCATGACAATGAATTGTAAGCTGCTTATTTTCACTAGATGCATTTACATTCAACTCAGGTGTCATTTTCTGAATACATGGTCTCTTTTTGGGTAAAGAATAGAAGAATGAAGCAGAAGAGGTTTTTATGAAGTACTATAAAATGTTGTTGTTTTTTCAATCATGAACTATGACTGCAGGGTTTTATGTTAAAATTTTGTAAGATGGTTGTACCTGGACAGATCTCTCAAATGCTTTTTAATATCACATTTTAAAAATACATACTTTTAGTGACTGATAGTTTTGTCTGTTTGCCACAGGTGCCGCAGACATTGACCAGTACATTGTTGTCTATAATCCACTGGCGTGGAACATCACTACCTTTGTCAAGCTTTCTGTCAGCCTCCTGAGAATGAGTGTCTATGATGAACTGGGACATCCTGTGCCAGCTCAGGTACTTCAACTTTGTTTCTGTCTGTTGCTTTTCTTTCACTTGTCGGTTTTCACTGACTTGATCCCACCTCCTGTCAAAGTGTGGTAATGTATAGTATTACAGCAAAAACAAGTATTAGTTCAAATTGGGATTTTCCTAGTCCTCCTTCAGGTGATTATGTTTTTTTTCCTCTGTGTTCTGTTTGTCCTTTGTATGCTTGCTGTGTGTGCCTGACCCCTGCTTTTCTTTCTAAAAAATACTGTTTCCAGTAAAACCTTTTCAGTTGAAGCCCTGCGCTGTAATTGATGGTCCTATTTGGTACAATTGACAAATTGCCTTGGGTAGGAGAATTGATTGAAGAAATTTAGGAATTGAGGCTTGGCAAGTGCTCTTCCTTCTTTTGCACCACTTGTATGAGTTGAAGCGGTTCCCTATGAGTGGGAATAGGTCCTGTTGATTCCAGTAAGGTTAGGAGTTGTGCAGTGTGAATAACAAGGTGTATGCCAATCCATGGCATGAGGGTACAGACAACTGTCCTGGATTCACTGGGAAAGAGTTAATTTTCTTCTAGCAGCTGGTAGAGTGCTGTGGTTTGGCTTTAGTATGAGAAAAGTGTTGATAACACAAGATGGTTTAGTTGTTGCTAAGTAGTGCTACCTGAAGTCAACTTTGTTTCCTATGCTCTGCCAGCAAGGAGGGGCACAAGAAGCTGGGAGGAAACACATCCAGGACAGCTGACCTAAACTAGTCAAAGGGATATTCCATTCCACAGCATGTCATGCTCAGTATAGAAACTGGGGTAAGTTTCTATACTGCAGTTGGCTGGAAGCTGTTTATTGCTGCTCAGGGACAGGCTGGGCATCAGTCAGTGGGTGGTGAGCAATCGTGTTGTGCATCACTTGGTTTTCTTGGGTTGTATACCTCTCTTTCTCATTATTAGCATTAATAATATTAATTATTATTATTATCATCATATTTTACTTTCTTTTAATTATGAAACTGTTCCTATCTCAATCAAGTAGTTTTACTTTTTCCCAGTACTTCTCCCCATCCCACTGCATGGGGCTGGGGAGTGAGCAAATGGCTGCATAGTACAGTTGCCAGCTGGTGTTAAAACATAGCAGTCCTTTTTGAAACCCACTGTGGGGCACAGAGTGCTGAGATAATGACAGATCTGACCAGAGTGTGTTAAAACAAATTTATTATAAGCATTCATTGTATTGATTTAATAGTTGCTGGTCACAATATTGATTTATTTATTCTAGGAGTTGTTGCATTTGTTTTCAGGGTTATGTTACACTTCACCTGCACTACATGTTCCCTGTGGTGACGTTTATCATCCCTGGGGCCTGGGCTAAGATTGTAATTTTGTTGTGCTTCGTGGTATTGATTTATGATATGTAGAATTCCTGATCATGACACTAATCTCATATGTGTACTCAGCATTGCCATCACCTCTGTACTTTGGGAGCCATCTATTGGGAAATATTAATATTTACATTTTTCACCATTTCCCCTCAAAAGAGCCAAACTATATAGGAGACATCTTCCTACAGCTTCCTTCCTTTCTTCTCTCCTTTCCTCCTTACTTCCTTCTGACATGTTCCTTCTCCAGGCTGATTACAGTAGCGCTTGAGAGGTTTTAAGATTCTGAATATCCTTCAAACCAATTCAGCATGGTGCTGAATGTGGTTCAGGTCTTGTTTAAGGTTAAACAACTATCTAAGAATGCCACTCAGAGGTCTGCCCCAAGGATGGATAGTTACGAGTGGCAGGGTGTGTGGAATTGTTTGGACAAGTATCTAGGCCAGTGGGCACCTCCAGTGTTTTGGATCTTCCCTTCTGAAAGTGCAGAATCTGGAAAAACTAGTGAAATACTTGGAAAAAGTATATTGTTATCCTGACAGTTCCAGAGAGACACAAATCACTGCAGCGTGCTGGGGCCTCGCTCGTGCCTACTGAGCCCTGCTCAACACTCTTCTGTACTCTCAAGGGGAAAAGAAGCTCTCTGTATCTGACAACAAAACAAAAGGATGGTTGCCTGTGCTGGGCTGGATGTTCAAAGGGAAGCTGTCCTCTACACATCATGCAGTTGATGCTGTGTGGAGTAAGTGTGTCACACTGATCACACAGCAAGGTCAAACAGAAAATCACAGTCATCCAGGAATCTTGGAAGTCACCATGGACTGGCCAGAAAACAAAGATTTTGGAATATCATCAGAGGAGGTGTTGATGCATGTTGAAGAGGCCCCACAGTATAATAAATGACTAGAAAGTGAGAAGCAATATGCCTTGTTTACTGATGGGTCCTGCCGTATTGTGGGAAAGCATCGGAGATGGAAAGCAGCTGTATGGAGTCCTGGACGACAAGTTGCAGAAACTGCTGAAGGAGAGGGTGAATCGAGTCAGTTTGCCGAGGTGAAAACCATCCAGCTGGCCCTGGACATTGCTGAACGAGAAAAGTGGCCAGTACTTTATCTCTATACTGATTCATGGATGGTGGCAAATGCCCTGTGGGGGTGGTTGCGGCAGTGGAAGCAGAGCAACTGGCAACGCAGAGGTAAACCCATCTGGGCTGCTGCACTGTGGAAGGATATTGCTGCCCGGGTGCAGAACCTGGTGGTGAAGGTACGTCATGTAGATGCCCATGTACCCAAGAGTCGGGCCAACACCGGAACAACCAACAAGTGGGTAAAGCTGCTAAGATTGAAGTGGCTCAGATGGACTTAGATTGGCAACATAAGGCTGAATTATTTTTGGCCCGGTGGGCCCATGACACTTCAGGCCATCAGGGCAGAGATGCAACATACGGATGGGCTCGTGATCAAGGGGTGGACTTAACAATGGACGCTATAGCCCGGGTTATTCACAAATGTGAAACGTGCTGCAATTAAACAAGCCAAGCAATTAAAGCCCCTCTGGTATGGAGGACAATGGCTGAAGTTGGGGGGCCTGGCAGATTGATTATATCACACTGCCACCAACCCGCCAAGGCAAGTGCATGCAAAGAGCATGGCATTGAGTGGGTATATCACATCCCCTATCGTGATTTTGGGTGAGAATCATGTCTCAGTCTCTTTTCTGTCACTTGACTGATTAGTTTAATTTTTTATTATTTCTGCTTATATCGTCATTTTGCAATGTGATCTTAAATCAATTCTGTGCTCGAATTAAACTAAGATCTTTGTAATTTGCTTAGTGACCCTCTTCCCTTCACTAGAAAAGTCTAAGCGTAATCCAATTAAAAGCAGCATGGATCTACATGATAATTGAGAATTATAAGAATGTCATATTTAGAAACTTATTTTTAATTTAGTAGTAGTTACTTTTTGTAATTTAGGGCTTACAACACATGAAGATATTTGCCTTGCCAATTAATTTTCTGTAATGGAGAATTATTGTATATGTTAACACACAGGTTCAAAGCTCAGCGGAATCCCATTCTACATATGATCTGTATATTCTAGTTGCAATAAGTGGTCTGAGCTACAGAAAATACCATGTTAAACCCTTGAATGGTAAGCAGTCTGCGTTTGTTGGAAGATCTGTCAAGTACAAGCGAAAAGACCTGACTCATGCAGATCAACAAAGTCAACATTTGCTTCCTGTGGTTAACAACTGCTACCAGGTCATGTTTGACCGAAACACAAATCTAATGCACAGCATTACAGAGAGGTGAGATAGCCTGTTTGCTTTTAATAATGTTTCAGATTACAAAGGTTTTAAAACCATTTGTAAAAATAAGTTCAAGGACTGTATCATACCTTCATTCTGAGACTTCACTAATAAAATGTTCTTTATATTCTTTACAGTTCTTTCTTACCTCCAGTTCATGTGTTCTCCTTTCTACAGGGAAAATGAACACCAGCATAGGTGTGATTTCACACTATTTCTGTAATGTTGTTTACATGTTTAATCAGGCAATCAGTCTAAGGTGACATACCGCAGTATTAACTCGTAGATCAGCAGAATCTTACCTTATTTTAGAGCTAAAAAGGGTTATTAATGTCTGTTTGCATTAAAAATAAATAAGTACATATGCTATGGCTACACATTAAGCCTTCAGTAATAAAGCAAGATCTTTCTCTTGCTAAGCAGTAGTGTTTTCCAGGTTCTGTATCACTCTTCCTATGGTAAAAAACGTTTTAAAGGAAACATTTAACTGCTGAAACTCCATTTAATTAGCAGATAAAATGATGAACAGTCAAGATTTAGGTGAGATTTGGGGTTTGCAGATTTTCTATCTCAGCTGATGTGAATTGGCCCATTTTCTTCAGCTTCAGTAGACCTGTGCTGCTTTTTGCCTCCTCAGGATTCAGATTGTCAGCTATATACTGATGGAAAATTTGACCCCTCTGACATTGGCTTGTTGACTACTAGACCTCTTTCACCTTTGTGTTTATGTTTGTAATTCTGCCTCATAGACCAAGAACTTTTCATCTCTGTTTAGTTAAAATTAGCTTTAAAAGTACAGATGGGCCTTAACTAAGCACCTTGAAGTAAGTACCTTCTCAAAGTGCCTCCAGATCCCAACTCTTTCCAGGTTCCATGAGGAATATAATATGGAATATAAGGAAGAGGAAGAAAAATCTAAATTCACATTCCATTTTTTCCCATCCTGTTCTTGCAGGCAGCAAGAGCTGGAATTCAGCATGTAAGATATTCACTTTCTTCACAAGCCTGCAGGCAAGGCTGGAATGTTCAAGTTTCAGCAAATTTGCTCTGGGGTAATGGGAAAGAGGGAGGCATCAGGTCAGCTGTGGGATCTTCAACTGTGAAGCCTTATGAAGTTTAGGTGCAACAGTTGCAACCTCTGGGTTCTGACCCTGCACTGAAACTGCCTCAGAACAGGAGCAGTAGAAAAGACATGGGTGTGTTTTGCACCTCAGTCATTCCGATTTATCAGTCACTGGATTAGCACTAGCTAAAATGATTGTCAGTTTAAATTTATATGCTGGACAAAGTGATGTTTCCTGTTTTGCCAGCAAGATTCCAAGAGAGGAGCAGAGCAGATAGCTGAGGGCAATAGCATCTTAAATTGCCTTCATATGATTTTCTAAAGACTGTGATATGGAATCATGAATAGCTAAACTGTAAGCTTCAGGGGAGGAGAAGACAAAGTAGGTACTGAGCGAGTGCAAATTTTGCTATCCCATTGCCATTATATTTGTTACCACTGTTAAATATGGAAACTTGCATTGTGCTGATTTAGCTAGCTACAAAGTCAGTTAAATGAACCTGATGGTTCATTAATATGGTGCAATGTACCTCGTTTTTGTGCAATGGTGGGTTTGCATCCTGTAGCAACTGTCACATCAAAGCAACAAGCTAATGTAGGTGATGTTTCTGTCTTAAGATGTTTCTGTTTTACAGAAGTATAAAATGACATAGAAACTCCATTTATTTGCATGCTGACAGATGCCATAATGGGAAGCATTTTAGTTCTCTGCTGCCCTCATTTCCTAAATCTTATAAAATCAATTATCCACTTGGAGGAAACAGGTTTTTTTTTTGCTTACATTCCCAAACTCATTCCTTGCAGCCCAGCTTTCCATCTGTTATGTACAAAACGTAATACGGTTTTCCCTTTCTGTGGATTTACAGGGAGACTAACCAGACTGTCCAGTTGACCCAGGAGTTCCTTGAGTACCATGTGAATGGAGACACAGCGAAGGGACCAATTTCAGATAACTACTTATTTGCCCCAAATGCTTCAGCTGTTCCTGTATCAAAAGCAGTGGGATTGGAAGTGGTTTCTGGAAATCTGATGACAGAGATACGACAGTATTTCTACAGGTACAACACAATTACAGCTTCACTTCACTGGAATGTTTAATTCTCTGTAGCTATTGATGAGATTAATTCTGTGTAGTTACTCCTAAACAGCGAGCTCTGTGTACTGTTTAGGATTTAGACAGAAGGACTAGCATGTGTCTGCTAAATAGAGTGCTGAGGAAGCACCTCCTTTAAATAGCACATATTGCTGTAGGGAGGGAGGTGAAGACTGTTTGGTTGTCTTCTGTCGTCCATTTTGTAGTGCAACTTCTGATGGGATCCTGGTTTCATTCAGTGCAATGAAAATTGCAGCTAACATCATCTTACATGAGTGGAATACAGATATAATGGTTCATCTTTATAACTCTGAATATCTTGCTTATAAACAAATTACAGAAAGGAGAAACGAGTCCTACACAAGGTCACTCTGACCGCTGATGGACTAGCTACTTTTCTGTGTTAAAATTTCATCAGTCTGTAACCCCTTCACCCTCTTTTAAATCTTATTTGATTGAAGCCTTTTGCTTTATATGTCATTGTACTACAAGGATTGTAGTCGAGAAGTATGTTTGGAAAACAGCGGAATTCTCACATCAAAGTTAATGTTGCCCAGATTGAAAAAATACCTGTGTTCTGTACAAAGTAATTGTTTTGCTTAGGGAGTCATAATTATTTTAAAACTTCTTGTTAATTTTGAGAAAAACAGAGCCTCTCTAATTGAATGAATAGTCCTGTTTTACACCTGAAACACTAAAGAAAATTGTAGGGTATCGCTTACTCCAGTTGAGTATCTGTACATTTGAAAATTAAATTTCAATTAAAAATATTTGTACGTGTACATGAAATAGATAGAAAACAGGCTAGAAGGTTGTCTATGTGTAGGATCAGATCATGAATGACTTTCAAGTCTTGACATAACTGATCAAGTTCTCCACTTTATAAACTCTGCATATCTTTCTTCTCATTTTTATAGTAACGTTACTTCTCAGGATTACATATATGCACTGTATACCAGGATGTATACAGTACCGGAAGGCTATGATGGGAAGTTGCTTTGCCATAGGATAGAGCAAGAATACAGAGTTGGGCCTTTGGAATTCAATCGTGAAGCAGTTCTAAGAATGAGTACAAGTTTGGACACCAGGCAACTACTCTACACTGACAACAATGGATATCAGATTCAGAAAAGACCATTCAAAGCATACGAGAATAACACAGTGGCTCGGGTAGGCACAAAGTGTGATCTGAAGTCAGTTGTGTCTTGTCTTTGTTCTCCATTGCTGTTACCTAGGTTAGTATTATCACAGCATGATTTACTGTGTGTTTTCAGAACTATTATCCTATGGTCCAGACTGCATACATTGAAGATGATACCACAAGGCTGGTGCTTCTTGCAGAAAGAGCTCATGGTGTCTCAAGCCAAGGAAATGGACAAGTGGAGGTAACATATAAAACATATTTTTACTAGGGAAGCATAATTTCATGGCTGCTAATAATACAAGTAGATCATGATGGCTGGTTATTGTTGTGACATTCACCTTCCCAATACAGGTGATGCTTCACAGGAGACTGTGGAACAACCTTCAGTGGGACCTGAATTACAACCTCACTTTGAATGACTCTTCAGTGGTTCACCCTGTGATGTGGCTTATTTTAGGAACAAAAGCTGTCACCAATATTTTGTATTGGACAAGCGGACTGGCATTAGAACACGAGCCAGTAGTAATGTTTGGAGCATCATCAGGTAACTCATTCTGTCTCCTGTGCTGTCTTTAGCATCTGAATGGCTTGCTTGTGTTGCTCTGATTTATGCTGTTAAGTTTATAAATGCAGACTTCAAGCTTCCTGTGTGGCAAAGTTAGTATATAGAATCACAGAATAGTTAAGGAGTTAGAAGGCAGATTTAGAGCCCACTAATTACTTTGCATTAATTTCAAACATGGATGTTGTCCAAGTGTATGAAATGTTCCTCTTGTTATATAATTATCTCTACATTCAGAGGAGAATAAATTTTAAACCATATAATGAGAAGAAAATGTCCACATGGGGAATTAGAGCATAGTAGCTAGTGTGCCTTATATCAGCTTCCTGGATGCTGAGTCCTTAATGACCATTTTTAAGTTATTCTTTTAAAAATATTTGTTTGACTTATTAACTAAAACTGAAGCCTGATAGTGAAACAGCAACTTCAAACTGCAGTGAAATCTGCTTTATGGAAAGCTGTAATACACTTCTCCAGCAGATAAATCCATGCTGCTTTCTGCTCTGTATCTCAGAAGGCCTTGGAGGAGAAATACAACATCTGCTTTGCATCTGCCTTGGCAGAATAAGCAGAAATGTCTCCCACAGTATCCTAGCCAGGTTGTGTGCATGATGGATGTTTGACATTTGCCTTCTGTCTCTTTAGATGGAGGAGATAAACCAAAGCTACACAGACAGCTTCAGCAGAATTCAGTCCACAGTTCACATGTAACTGTCCCACTTAATCTTCATCTCCAGACTCTGAGCATTCCAGGGTGGAGATACAGCTCTGATCGTGTGGAGCAGGTCCACAGCATCTGCATGGGTAGGTGCCTTCAAAAGGGTAGGTGGTAGACCCAAAGAAGCTTTCTGTTCTTTCTGTCTTCTGTGGCTGGTGATGTTATTTATTCAGAGTGTTAAGTTCCTCTGTTGAGAAAGTTAATTGGACTGTATGATTTCTCTACTCAAATAGGAAAGTACTTCTCCTGCATAAGTTCATCATGCCTATTAGTGCCATTCCTCTCAACAGTGGGAGCTGGGTATTTCTTGCTGTTAGTCCTCTTGCTAATTGTAAAAAATAGGAATTGAATTCAAATTATGAGATCTTTAAAAAATGTTTAAAAGTTGGGTTTATTTTTAGAGTAAGAAAATGCTTGCATTTTGTTTTCTCTTCAAGGTGGACAGAAGAAAGGTGATGTGGACTTCAGTCGTGTCCTGCTAAGAATTAGGCACTTGTATGAAGTTGGAGAGGATCCTGTCCTGTCTCAACCTGTGATGGTGGATCTGAAGGTAAATCTAATCTTTTAAGACAGAATGCCAATAGAGGTGGTTTTGCTCGAGAGAGAGTGTCCTGGTTTCAGCAGTAGCAGTCATTTTTCTCCTTCTTGGTAGCTGGTGTAGTGCAGTGTTTTGACTTTCAGCTCGGGAACGGAGCTGATAGTGATGTTTTGGTTTGGCCAAGGACTTTGTGAGCCTCATGCTCTGCCAGGGAGGAGGGGAAGCCAGGAGGAAGCAGAGACAGGACACCTGACCCAAACTGACCAAAGAGGTATTCCATACCACAGCACGTCATGCCCAGGATGTAACTGAGAGTTAGCTGGAAGGGCTGGGAGACTGCAGGGTTGGAGGAGGTATCGGTCAGAGCTTGGTGGGGCTGGGGGGGCAAGTTATCGGTCAGCTGGTGGTGAGATGATGTATTCTCTTCCCTTGTTATTTCCTTTATCATTATTATCATTGGTGGTAGCAGTAGTGATTTGTGTTATACCTTAGTTACTAAACTGTTCTTATCTCAACCCCTGGGAGTTGCATTCTTTTCGATTCTCCTCTCCGTCCCTCCGGGAGTAGGGGGAGGGAAAGAAGGGGGGGAGTGAGTGAACGAGTTACCTGACTGGGTTTAAACCACGACAGTTCTTTTTGGCGCCCAACGTGGGGCACGAAGGGTTGAGATAACGACAGGTTTGACTGGATTAATAGTCACTCGTCACAATGCTGATTTATTGGCTCTCAGAGTTGTTCTTCTTGATCTCACAGCTTCAGAATGTTGTAACTTACTTAGAGCCGGTATTTGCTGTGTTAGTGTTTATTAAGTGTGGGGCCTGGGCTAAGGTTCTTGTCTCACTGTGCTTTATGGCAATGGCTTGTAATACGGGCGGGCTCCAGCAGCAGGGCGGGACGGACGTGGCCGTGGACTTGTACCTGGCCGTCCTGCTGCTCTTCACCGTCCTGGCCCTCACCCTACTCTCCATCTTCGTGAGGCTGCGGGGAGCCGAGGGGGAGCGGTCCCGGGAGCCGGCGGCAGCCGAACCGGCCCGGGAGAGTGGCCCCGGGGACCAAGCGGCGGCGGGAGCGGGGCCGGAGGCCGCGAGGGGACGGCTGCGGGTGGAGGAGGTCGGGGAGATCGAGGAGAGGAAGGAAGCGGCTGCCGAGCAGCGGGAGAAGGCGGCGGAAGAGCCGAGCCCCGCGGAGGAGCCGAGCCCCGCGGCGGAGACGAGCCCCGCGGCCGAGCCCAGCCCCGCGACGGCCGAGAGCATTCCCCGGAAGCCGCCCGCCGAGCCCCAGGAGGATGCAGGAGACCACGCAGCATTTCCCAGCAAGGCAGAGGAGGAAGAGCTGGACTCAGGAAAAGAGAAGCTGGCGGTGGGAGAGCCGGCAAGCACAGCGGCTACACCAGCCCCAGTGACAAGTACAGCAGCATCGTGTGAGAGTTCTGAAGGTTTTGAATGGCCTTTGGGTGTCCTTGGGACCTGCCTGCTGATTGTGATGGGGATCAGCATGTTGGCACACACACAGGCTGTGTTCTACCCACAACCATTTTGTCTGATCTCAAAAGTTAAGCAGAGTCAGGTTTGGGTCTTGTCTGGGGTTAGACAACAATATAGGGGGACCAAGAGGTTTTCCCCAAGGCTGGACAGTCATGAGTGGCAGGGTGTGTGGGACAGTATGGGCAAGTATCTAGTCCACTGGGCCCCTCCAGTGCTTTGGAAGCGTCGGAGATGGAAGGCAGCTGTATGGAGTCCCCAGCAAGAAGCTGCAGAAACTGCTTAAGGGGACAGTGAATTATTTTAAGCCTGGTGGGCCCATGGCACTTCAGGCCATCAGAGCAGAGATGCAACACAGAGATGGACTCATGATCGAGGGGTGGACTTAGCAATGGACACTATTGCCCAGGTTATTCACAAGTGTGAACACTGCACACAGTCTCTCCTGTTCTGACTGTTACAAGAGATGAAGCCTGACGTCATGGACCAGGTGGACTCAGCAGCTTTATAGGGACTGGTCCATGCACTAAGATAAGAGTATATTGAAAATGTGGGATCTGAGCATGACGTGAATGGTATGGAATAAGGGGTGGATAATGTCCTGGTTTCAGCAGTAGCAGTCATTTTTCTCCTTCTTGGTAGCTGGTGTAGTGCAGTGTTTTGACTTTCAGCTCGGGAACGGAGCTGATAGTGATGTTTTGGTTTGGCCAAGGACTTTGTGAGCCTCATGCTCTGCCAGGGAGGAGGGGAAGCCAGGAGGAAGCAGAGACAGGACACCTGACCCAAACTGACCAAAGAGGTATTCCATACCACAGCACGTCATGCCCAGGATGTAACTGAGAGTTAGCTGGAAGGGCTGGGAGACTGCAGGGTTGGAGGAGGTATCGGTCAGAGCTTGGTCGGGCTGGGGGGGCAAGTTATCGGTCAGCTGGTGGTGAGATGATGTATTCTCTTCCCTTGTTATTTCCTTTATCATTATTATCATTGGTGGTAGCAGTAGTGATTTGTGTTATACCTTAGTTACTAAACTGTTCTTATCTCAACCCCTGGGAGTTGCATTCTTTTCGATTCTCCTCTCCGTCCCTCCGGGAGTAGGGGGAGGGAAAGAAGGGGGGGAGTGAGTGAACGAGTTACCTGACTGGGTTTAAACCACGACAGAGAGCTAATTCTGGAATGAAGTACTGTGTATGCTAGAGACTCCACAAAATATGGATACAAAAATACTATCATAAGTTTAACCTTGGAGGGAAGTAGGTCTTATTTTTGCAACGCAGAAGCCGCTACTTCATATGAAGCTGCCATAGAACCAGCATGAAGATCTGCATAAATATTGGTAGAACTGGTTCTGTTGAGCTGCTGGCTGCGTAATACTTCCTGCAGTACCTTAGCCGGTGCCGAGAGTGGGATTCCGTTTTGCTGTTTCTTTAGTTATTGCAGGTTGTACCTGCAGTTAATGAAATATAGACAGGATTAAAGGAAACATTTTTTTCCTCTATAGTTATATCTGTGGGTTATTGAAACTTCAGTCACTTCCAGCATGTGCTGTGCGTTTTCACTTGTTTATTTGATTTTACATATAGAAGTAAATAATTTTATAATACATGGCAGGGGGTATTTTAAAATATGGCAGAAGCATGGGAAACAAGGTGTAGTATTTTCTTCTTTGTTTAAAAAAGTGCACTGTAAGTTTCAGCCCTTGAATGGAGAGATTAGTAGGCTCTGAACTTTGCTACAACACAGAAGAAGCCCTTAGCACCTCAGCTTCGTTTGAAGCCTGGTGATTCTGTAGTTGCTCTTTCGTTGCATGACTTAACAGATTTCTGAAGTTTCTACTTGTCTGCTTAACACATCAATACTAGAGATGAAAGTTCTATGCTGGTGTAACTGTACTGATGAGTGTGCTATTGTCAATAACTTGTGGTTTGAATGCTTGTGTTTCCTTTGCTCACAGTCTTTGCTAAAGGGATTAGGATCAGTGATGGTAGTGGAAGAGCGATCACTCACAGGCACCTGGGATATAAATACTTTGAAGCGGTGGAAATGGAAAACTGCACAACACCCCGGCAAAGGTAGGTGGAGTAAGGTGTTTGGTGTCCATATTGTGATTGACTGTGGAAACTTGATGGATAGTCTAATTAAAAATATTAGAATAATTGTGACTATTCTATGATTCTATGATTAAAAATGTTTTGTTGTTCTATGTGACAGGCCTGGTATGTGGCACAACTTGCAAGTAGTAGCGTTTAGCAAAGATTCCCTGCAAGTACTAGACTGCTGTATTTCTCTGATGGCTTGTTTTGTCTACAAGTGTTAAAAAATTTGAAATCTTTCTGGAGGCATTTTTGTCCAGCTAGAAGTGGCTACTTCATGAACTCACACTTGTAACACAGATTGATTTTGTTAGGTGCTGATGAGTTGTGTTAATCTAAGCTTAAGCCTGTGCTGCAGAAAAACAGACAGCTGCACTTAAAAATCCGCAATGTAATCAGCTTAAAGGACTGCATGGATGTGATTCAAGTTAGGGCTGGCACTCAAATGCTGTGGGTGACCTCATTTCATTTCTCATTCCAGTTGGTTGCTTGGACATTGTCCTTACAGTCACTTATATCAATATCCGTAAAAAGCTTACAGAGGTTTGGGGCTGGTCTAGGTAAGAGTTTAGAGCTCTGCTTGACCTGCAGCTAGGAACTTATGTGCTGTTTAACGACGATAAAGAAAAGGTGCATGATGGGCGGGGGGTCATTTCACATTTTCTGTGTGAGTCAGTGTGTGAGAAGTAGATGGATTGTATATTTTAATATTATGAATTGGTGCATCTTAGGCTCCATACTACTTGCAGCTTTAAGGAAGAGAACCTGCTCAAACACTAGCTTTTAAGGAAGATATGAGTTCAAACTGTTGAGATAGAATATTATGTACTTTTATTCTTCTTTAATATATTACCAACATTTTTGTGCTTTACAGGATTCTCCAAAAGCACAGAGACCTCAGGAAACTTTACAGTAACAGTTTACCCAAAGGAAATAAGGACTTTCTTTGTATACTTTCAGAGTCAATAAAGTTTAACATTACATTTCAAGAGTGAGTATGTAATAGCTTCCAATTTTTGTTTCAAGATAGGAATGATGACCTTGCAAAACATTCTACTGCTGTTAATTGAAGAAATAGTCATTTTGGAATAAACTCTAAATTTAATTAAACTGTTGGCTTGAGTTGTGGGTATTTTTGTTGGTTAATTATTTACAGCTCATTTTTTCTGAAACTTGATCAGTGCAAAAATGACCTTGGTGTTGCAGTGCAAGCATATTGCACATTTTCATGCTTGCTGTGGGTGGTTTTCAAAGTGATTGCTTCCATAATGCTTCACTGTGGAGCACTGTCAAAGTCCTATTAGTCTTACAATCTCAAGTTGTCTTTCTAATTAGTGGTGATCTCAAAAGTCTTCTCTTAAGTTTCTTTATTGTTAGAGGAGATGACTTCCAAATCACAGAAGAGTGATCTGCCAAATGGGGTTCTGTTTCTACATGCAAGGAAGAATGCCTGTTGTATTCCAGCTACTTTGTCTTTTGGGCACAATTGCAAAGTTTCTGCCTTGCTGTAAACTGAAGTTGAATGTCCCGTCTGTATTCCTTTGCCCTGAGTTCATTTAAACTGCCTTTTAAGGCTTACAGTATCCTGGTCCTGGACGTTCACTGTTGTGTTCTTGGTAAACTGGAGCTAGGCTGTTGACAGAAGATGTATTGCCACATGACTGGTAACTAATTCATAATCTGAAGCAGAAGCACCATTCTTACAACCCTGTGAACTTTTTCATACTTCTCAGCCTCAGAGGATGTGCCTAGTAGTAGCAGGAAATGTTTTATTAGCATCAAGTTGAAATTAATCATGGAGGACTGTGTTGAGAGGTTAAACTGGCAATAAGTGCAGACTCTAAGCAGATCTGATGGAGCAGCAGCAGAAGGAAACTTGGACAGTGGCGGGGTTTCCTAATAGCTGCTATGTATTTATGTCAAAAAGAAAAATTGCATTTTTCTATTTTCCTTTCTAGCTCTAAACAAGGTGGAGCTGTGGAATCTGATTCTGTTCATGTGCCATTGAGCATCTCTATTTCACTTGTTGATCATGAAAATGCACATAGCCAAAATGAGAACCAAGTCACTCACTTCACTGCAGTGATAGTGATGAATTACGCTTGGTGCAACACTGTACAAAACTGTATTTCTGACCAGTGAAACATTAAGCTGAAAGAGAAAATATATAGGTTTAAAAGAAGAGAATAGGTGCCTTTTCAATCAACTGATAATAATTCTAGCTCTAGAATCATTTAGAAATGACATTTTACTATGGTAATAGTTCTCATTTGCTTTGGCTGTTCAGCAGTGATTTCCTCCGTGTGGAGACACTGTTCAGGAACAAAGGAAACAGTGAAAAGGGCTCTCCCAGAATAGCTCTTGTGAAATAGTTATGCTGGAAGAGCTGCACTGGTGGTCAACTTTTCTGTGTAGAAAGCCTGTGTACGGTAACTGTTTTCATCTCATTAAAATCACTGTAGAAACTGTGCATTCAGTTATTGGTTGAAGAAAGGTTGTATCATATTTTCTATTGGTTATTTTTCATACTTAGCAATAATGCCAATCTAATCTGCCCTGATGCAGTGAAAGCCATTTTCCTGCCACTTTAAGCCCAAAGGGGAATTGTGTAGCACTGTAACTAGAATGCAATAAAGCAAGATGGCAGCTATTTTTTGTTTTGTTTTGTGCATGTATTAGGGAATGAAATGTGTCCAGCTAAGTAATATTCCTTGCTTGTACATCTTTTCTGATTTCCTGCTTGGGTATGCCATGTAGTACAATGTGTATACTCTGAAGGTTACACAGTGGTAGGATTACAATTCATTTTTCTGTGACTGAAGTCATGACAACAAGTCAATCATGGTAGGTTATAAAAATGGAATTGTATCTTCAGTGGGCAATTGTATGGTCAATCCCAGCCAAGCAGTAAAGGGTCCTACAGCTGCTGACTCCGGGCACTTCTTTCCCAGATGTAAGATATGTATGTTTCTAGTCCATGTTAAGTGTGTTAAGTCCTACAAAAGCCTTCTGTATGCAGGATAATATAAACAGGAATACCTCATTATCAGCTGATTTATCTGTTGGGGGGGGGGTCTACTTCCCTTTGTAGAGACTGTCTGATTTAAAAGAAAAGGGGGGGAGAGCACCACCAGAGTATTTTACCTGGAGTTGTTTCAGTACAATTGGCCACCAGGGAATAATTTGCCAGAGTCAAATCTTGTATTGCACTGGAGGCATCCAAAACTGTAAAGAACACGGCATTCCTGCTAGAAATCTATTCGTAATTTACAGAAAGAAAAGAAAACTTAACAGGATCTTCCTGTTGTAAATGCTTTCCTGACCCACACAGTCATGTGGGTGATGCACTTACCCCACCAGCAAAGCTGGCTTAAGAAATTTTGTCACCATATTTTTCGACCCGCTCAGTACTACTGTAATGAGAGTTTGTGGGGTTGTGTTGTAAAACAGTACAATGAATTAACCTAAATAAGCAGCTAAAAATAAACCTTCTTCCCAACCCATTTTTCTGTGTGCTAATTCATTTCATCTCTGACAGGATGATTTGGATTAAAACCAAAATGTCTTTCTGAGTAAATATAAGCTGCTATCAGCACTACTGAAAAGGCTTCACCTAGTTTCTGGACAAAATACTCTGCATGCTGGAGCTGCAAGCTGCGTAACTCAACACTAAATGCATTAATGTAGATATTTAAATACAAGAGAAACTAGTTTTACCCTTGAATTTAAACATGTATATTTCGTTGTTCTACATCTATGATCAGTAGTACTGAAGATAACATGAATGTCAATGCTAACAGAATTATTTAATATAATTAAATGATATCCTTAAGTATAATATTATTTGCTTTAATATATCCTTTCATTCACATGAATTTAAAGGTATTTGTTATGTCCTCAGTAACTCTAAAAGGTGATAACTAAGTCAGCTGAGTACCGTTAGAAATGGGGATAGCCTACAGCATAATCTGACGTGTATATGTGCTATCGTCTCTTCTTTCATTTTATTTGGCAATCTAACTGGAAACTACTTCTGTAAGGTAGATACTGGTGAGCAGGTAATCTGATGCATTACATTTTTGTGGCTGACAAATGGAAAGGAGCAGTGCTTTAGACTTTAAATGTGGCTGTGTCTTCATTACAAACAGTTCAGCTGTTCCAGACACCTGCCCAGTGGTGCTGGTACCTGACGTTACTTGTAGGAAATCTTGTGGTTGACAGATTTTTATCAAGTTCTTAACTGCTTCATGTTCTCAGCATGTCCTATTTGATCTTTTTAATTATCATTTAAGTTCTGTCATTGCAATTTTTATGTTATCCAGCTGAACATATTTGTGGAAGAGTTTTGTCTGGCCTGGCATTTGAAACATCTGTCCAGGGAATAAACCTAAGTAAGTTGAGAAAATGGAAGCAATGTTTTATCTTCCACTTCTCTCACCAGGCAATGTAATTGATTCTGGGTTAAAGCAAAATATCAGTATTGGAGAACATTGAGCAGCATACAGTTATCTATAATTGTAATTTTTTTTTCTTTAATAATTGAAGGCAAATAAGTTTCAACATGGCCTTTAACTTGATGACATAACTGTAGATCATTTTATTTAACCCATGCTTATCATCTTCCTGAAACAAGCCTTAGTTAATATACCCTTCAGTATCTGAAGAGGGCCTAGAAGGATGCCAGAGAGGGACTGTTCACCGGGGACTGTAGTGAGAAGACAAGGGGAAACAGGTTCAAACTTAAACAAGGGAAGTTCAGGTTAGATATAAGGAAGAAGTTCTTTACTGTGAGAGTGGTGAGGCACTGGAATGGGTTGCCCAGGGAAGTGGTAAATACTCCACCCCTGGCAGTGTTCAAAGTCAGGCTGGACAGAGCCTGGGTGATGTCGTCTAGTGTGAAGCATCCCTGCCTATGGCTGGGGGGGTTGGAACTAGATGATCTTAAGGTCCTTTCCAACCCAAACTATTCTATGATCCTATTGCACTGGTATTGCATTAATACAGCTGCACGCACAGAGGTAACAGTGGGATGCACTGCATACAGAGTGTAGTGTTCTGCATTGTTTCCCACTGATGTTGCAGGATGTTGGGACCACTTTGTGGTCTTCACTCAAGCACTTCAAACTCAGCCTTCCACCATTGCTCCTGTCAGTGGGGCTATGCTGCTGTTAAGGCAAAAGTAGCAAAGTATTTTTCATGGGAGGGAAGAGTTTAGGCAAGATTTCAGCAAGATGAAAGGTGTGATAAGGAGAGATGATAGGATTAATATTTGACATCAGTGTAACCTAAGTATAATCACTGTCTCTTTTACTTTGGATAAGAGTCATCAGGTTGGCTGGAAGAGGCTGTTGAAAACATGTACATAGTACCTAAACAAGACTCATCTTCATAAAACACCTTTAAATGAAGGATTGCAGAAGTGCAATATCTCACATGAGACCACTGCAAGTATGGAAAAGCAGTTTTCTATGTCCTATCAGCAGAGAGGCTAATCTAGTGCTGAAAGATAGCCAGTTAGGAAACAATTTAAAATTTAAAAAAGAGCTGTTCTGATTTCAGACAGAATGAATGGGCTCTAAAACAGACCCCTCTGTGGTGACAGTTTCAAAGAGTAGAGGGAAAATCTGGGTTGCATTTAGGTTTCTATTGCCCTCACCACATGAGGGAAGAGGAAGTTAAGCTACGAATCTGAGAGGCTTTCATTTGTTGTTTTGCTGATCTTCAACAAAGACACCCTGATGCAAATGCTGATAATCCTGTGTGATGATCATAATTTCAGTGAAACTTCTTTTAACAATGTGTTTTGGCTGCTTAGGTAAGTGCTCTTTATTTTGTTTGTTTTGTTTATAGTTTGCCACCTGTAATCCTTGAGCTGGGTTTAAAAACACGTATTTTCTCCAGTATATCCACCTCAAATAGACTTGTGTGCAAGATGAGGAGAATGTTAACTATATTTTTGTAATGCTGAAATCAAAATTAAGATGTGTGGGGAATAAAAAAGCATTTTCATAAAGAGATTGTTATAGAAAAAATGTAGAGGAACAAATTTGACACCCAAAACGATCTTAGGTTAAGAAGGCAAGCACTCTTTTTTTTAGACCTTTAGACTTGAATATTTATTGTGGAAAACACTGAATGTAGAATTTGAAAATGTTAAGGAGGTTTAGTTCTGGATCATGTATCTACTGAAATACAAAGCAGATAAGGTTTCATGTTCCTTATTCAATACAGATTGCACTGGTTAATACTGAAGGTGTTCAGTATAAATTAAAAAACAGAAGGAAAGAGAGGGAAAGATTAAGAGATTAAACAAGGGCAAAAGCGTTTTTTTCAGTGCTATTTTCCAGAAAGACACTGAAGTCGCAAGACTAAAATGTATTAGATGCCATTTTAGGACCATGTAGTACATCAGTGAGTACACAGAAGATCTTCATTTGTTGCACACAATGATGAAGGGCTTTAACACACCAGATTAAAAGTTTCCCTTTAGCCAGAAAGTAATTGCCATTGCTCAAGGGAGAAGTGGCTAGTAAGTAAACTGAAAAATTAATCTCATGATGATTTTACAGTATTAACAATATTTTCAATCCTGTGATTGTAGATATTAGAGCTCTAATGCTTCCTCTTGGCTGCTTTAAATCTGTGTATATTCCTCTGCTAGCTACAGGTCCCAGTAATATAACAGTCATCCAAACACCAACAAAAATGCGTCTATCAATTGGAGACTACACTGAAATCGCCTGTATTTGGGAAAAATCTGTTGTGAGATACAGAGTAAGCTGGTATCTTCTTAATAAAGAGAACATCACCACAACTATATCATCAAAACTTCTGTACGTATACAATGACACCAGTGACAGCAAGGATGTGCTGGTGATAAACTCTGTCAATATAAATAACACTGGATTTTACTACTGTGAGATAATTAGTAAAATACCTTTCTGTAAGAAAGTATGTGGAAATGGGACAACAGTGATTGTTGAAGAGAAAGGTAAGCTACCAAGAACCTAAGTGTGCCATTTAACTTATCATCGTAAAGATTCTTCGTTTTCAACTATTTTATACACTTCCTCCCTCCCTCACATCTCTCTCTCAGCGCTGTGGGTCTTAGAATGAATAAAACAAACACAGAAGGGACATGAACGGCTTTTACTGACAATTGACTTAAGCTCTCTGCCTTAATACACCCAGTGCAGTGTTTGTTTTCTTCTAGAACAGTTTGCTAACAGGAATTATTAGTTAAGGTTTACAAAATACTGTGCATCTCCTATGTATTTCACAGACAACCCAAACACAGGAGTGGCTGAAGCAATTACACTCTTACTCTGTTAAGCAATATGTACCCTTTACTAACCATTTTATCTTTTTATTAGAAGTTCTTAGTAAATTAATATGGAAGATAGAGCAGTATGTGCTCCATATTAATAAGGATTTGTGTCCACAAAGATGTGATAAAATGTTCTGTATAGGCCGTGTCTCCTTACCTTACTATAATCGTTTGCTAATCATTACGAGAGAGCTATTTAAGGTCCCAATTCTGAATTAAGCATTGAAAAGCATTAATTCAATAAGTATTCACACACAATTAAATTTTCAGCAATAGGAGTGAGGTATGTTTCACCTTAAATTATGCCGAGAATGTGACATACATAGAAAAAGTTTACCTGTTGTGTCTGTTATACAACTATCTCAAGACACTGTGAAGATGCTAATCTCTACCTCTCATTCTACTTCTCAACAGTAGAGAAAGACTAGGGGGCTTTGATAATGTTAAAGGTCTCTGACTAGACCTTTAATATTACCAAACATCACTCATATATTGACTGATCAAGTCATGGGAAGCAAACTTTCCGTTCATCCAGCACAGTCCAGTTTTGGACACTATGCTATTGGGCAACTGGTAGTCCAAAGAGAGGCACAAAAATTACCAAAGACTTAGAAAACATCAGTGATAGAAAATGAATGTAGTGTTCAAAATGGTGGGAAATTAATGTAAAAGGCTGCTAAAAGAGTTAATCTTAAAACGAGTTGGGTGAGCTGAAGCCAGACAGATCTCTTACCTGGTCTGGTAGCAATAGCCTTAAAGTACAAGCAAAAGAGACTCACATGAGACACCAAAGGGGGGGAAATCGTCAAGCTGAAGGAGCTAAAAGAGGATTCGATATTATTGTTCATCAGGCATGCATCCCTCAGGAACGGGAAAGTGTAAGTAACCTTGCCCTTGGGTGGGAGGGTTAACTGGTTCTCTGCTGAAGTCAGTTTTAATTTTCCCCACCACCCCCCCAGTGTTTTTCTATTGTTTCTTTGAACAGTACGTAACTTTATTTAAAATATATTGTTACAGAGGCTCACTCACTGAACAAGAGAGATTTGGCAATACGCGCCATCATTCCTTTCTTAGTGGCACCAGCAAGCTTGTATCTTTGCTACAGAAAGAAACAGAAACAGCGCTCAAAACTTCCCAGTGAGTGACAATATTTCCATTAACACAAACTCTCTAAGTTAGATGTTTGTTCTGAGGTGGCTGGACAGTAGCACCTGAGAGGCATCACTGAGGTGCTCCTAAGGATGAGGAATTTCAGTGTATAACTTTTGCTTACCTGGTCCTGATCTGCTAGGGACCGCTCAAACTGAGAGGAGGGATTGGATTATAATTCAAGTGAGCGTTCTTGAAGCCACTTGCCTCTGTTATTTATCTTTCCAGACTTAGACTGAAGATCTTGACTTCCTTAGGGTATTGAGAGATATCAATTCTGATAGTTTCAGACTATGAGAGCAGACTGAAAAAGTGAGAAGCCAGAACTTAGCTCTGCATTATGGTCTTACTCCTGGTAGTGGCACCCGGAAATGACATGTGAAAGAGCCAGCCTTGGGGTCTGAGCTGTTCTGGTTTAAGCTGTATTTTCTTTTTTTAACTAATTATTATTAAAAAAAAAAAAAAAGAAATGAAGATGGAAGAAGTCACAAGAAAAAACAGCAAATGGGATGGTTAGAGGACAAGTAGGGCATCTGCTGGCAGTGAGTGCAGATCAGTGTCATAAAACCTAAGGCAGCCTCCTAAGTAACTGTAGCATGAGTATTACAGTTGCAGTATGAGGCTCACTCAGCTTGTGAGCTGTCAAGGATGTAGGAGCAATACCTGCGGTTTGAGGTTTAACTTGCAAGTTAACAAACCAGGGAGAGGGGATTTAGGTGAGTGAAGTCCTAAGTTCCTATTTCAGTCACTGGATTGACACAGGTGACTATATGAACTGACCCATGTCTACTTAAGGGTGAGCTCCTCAGTTCTCTAGTTATGACACAAACTCTGTTGACCAGCTCTCCATGGCATAAAGGGTATTCAGAAACCTGAAGGTATTCTATTCCACTTGCAAGCTGAATACCCCTCTAGTGCCTGTCATCAAGACTAAGTTATATAGGAGCTCTGCACTCTTCATTTGCAGAGCTCTGGTATTTCCAGTGTGACTCTGGAAATGGACAGTAAGTAAGCAGTGACTGTAACTTGTTTTTTGCTAAGGTTCTGCACTGCTTCCTGTGCCAACAGGAGGGCATCAGGGGAAGGGAATGCTCGAGGCTGCAGAAGTTCAGGGGAGAAGTGAATCCACAAGTGGAACAGCTGAGGAAAACTCAGCTGAATGGTAAGTGGTTTATAAAAAGACTCTCACCATGAGAGGACTTCCAAAATGAGGCAACTGGGGAGTGGGAGTGCCCTGAGCAGGAAGGACACATCAAGCTGCTCTTCCTGGGAGGGCATCTTGCTACACATGAAAAAAAAACCTCATTTTTCTTTTTGTATTTTTTTAAGAAAAAACAATCTTGACAGTGACAACACTCAGAAAGAGAAAGAAAGATTATTTGTGTTGTAGGAAAGTACTGGATTCTGTTATTCAATTTAGTGACGCTCTAAAACGGTCTGCAGAAGAGGGCAGAAAAAATGAAGAATATCAATATAGAGACTGTATGAAAGAAGTAGAGAAAAAGTAAAAAAGGGCAGTAAAGTCTCTTTCCATACAATTGTTCACCAAGCTCAAAGGGCTTGGACTTGCTTTAGCTCATAGGACCATTACAGCAGACACTTTCTAAGAGCCGGTAACATACTTCAGGCAAGCTTCTTTATCCAGGCAGTTTCTCATCTCTTAATTACATTAAAACATTAAGTGGGCAAGTGAAAGAAGCCCTAAGTTAACTCTTGCGCAGGTAGGCACAACTTCCATCACAGGCAGCTGGACAGGCTTGAACAAGCCACGCAGAGGCGATGTAAAATGCTAAAGCCCATGGTCACAACTGCAACTGAGTTTACAGATTCCTGAACTCTCCTGTTAGAAAACATGGCTTTGGTCTTGATTTGGTCATGTTGGTATTGAAATCATGGTGAGAGAAAACATCAGGATGCAAGTAGTAAACCAGTAATATCTGTCTTTTGTTGTGCAACAGTCATCATTCTAGAAAAAGAAAATGTATAGCTGGGAAATTCATTCCCCATAATATGTGGATTCCCACTGAAGCTCAGAGGGAGCTTCTTCAGAGCTCCTTGCTTTTACAGGAGACAGCATATTAGAAAATATCAAAAATACAAGGCATGAGGTGGTCTGGTCATGGTAATAAAATATTCTAATTACTGGCTATAAATGGATAACTCTTCTACTTGTTAATATTTAATGACTATGTGAGAAAACAAGGCTGAGAATGAGAAACAAGCATCAGAGGGGGTGCAGTGAAGAGTTCATTAGTAGCCTTTAAATGCTCAGGGTTTGTATGGACAACCAGACTCATCCACAGGATGTGTAAATACAACTATAAAAGGTCTCGTGCTGCTTTGTAATTAGCAGCTGCTAGCCACAGAGACATGTCATGATATAAATTTGGCATTTTCTTTCATGTAACAGGATCTTTTTTTGCTACTTTAATAAAAGCAGAAGCAGTGATTTCAGTGGTATCATTTTAAATGCTAAAGTATAATTGGATCTTTTAAATCATTCAAGGCATCCAGTAGATTAGTAAAGCCAGTACATACAATGTGCATGCACACTATATTTCAGGTAAATTAAGCCAATAGTGATGAGCCCATATTATGGTGCCTCTGGAGCTGTACTCACTGCCTTTCAGTTGTGTTGCAGAACATGACTGATTTAATTTAAGGGTACTTTTTCCTGTCTGTGCTTAAGTAATCATCTGAAAAGTTCACATTAGTTTTTTATATTGCTTACACTTTTTCTCTTTAAGCTTGGAAATTCACTGTACATTCTGAGTAGGTTTGGGCACCATTTCCAGAACAGCAAACGTGAAGGTTGTGTACGCCTTTGCAAGGCCATTTACAGTCCTCACTCGATTTATGTTCTGTGTTTTTTTCCAATACTTGGGGTTGCAAAGGCAATCTTGATTCACAGAACTTGAATCAAGGCATGGATTTTATTCTCACCTGTATCATACATCATAACAATGATGAGCAATTAGGTCAGATGACAGCACATAGCTCCAGGTATCTTAATTTAGCTTAACCTGAGAGTGAACATCCCCATGGCAAAGCTGGCTGCTGTGGCTGTGCTTTTATTATATAGCACTTCTCTCTCTCTCTGGAAAGTCATCCTATGTTTCCTGAGTTGAGATGCTCACTGCATGTTTCCCAGACAGTTCTGCCAGCTCCAGGAGTATTTAGCACTTGAGGGAATCCTTGGAGCAATTGGTGATTTTTTTGTTGCTAAATTCTGCAGGTTCCAGCCCAAACCTAAGCACTGCTGTAGCATTAATGCAAACTTCCAGCTTATTCAAACATGTAAAAAGCACACTCCTGAGAAGCTCTGGTTGTGCAAAAATGCACAGAAGCATGATCCAGATTAATTGGCCGTACCTACCATGCCCCCTGTTTGATGTTCAGGCAGCAGTACCTCTGGTCTGAGCATATTTCCTTGAAACAGAGACAGTAAATCCCCATAGCAAAGTATAACTTTTGATGACAAAAAGCTACCACTTCATGACTTACGTTTTTTTATTGTTTTATGCCATGTTAGCTTGTAAATTTGATTTTATGTCAATGAGCACAGATCTTTGTGGACCTTTAAGGCAGATCTTTAATTCTTAGCTTTTGCTAAAGAACTTACCTGAAGATCCCAAATCCTACACGTGCTTAGGAAATGAAAACAGGATGACTTTTGCACAATCCAGAATAACATCTGAGTACCACTGCAGTGTACTAGTTTACTGCATAAAAAGAGCATCCCTCCAGAAGGAGCAGTGTGATAAAGCTTTTTGGAAATATTGGAGTTAAATGTTAAAGGGAATAAAAAACCTTTGAAATTTCAGATTTCATAGAACTGGGTTTACACTGAAACTTGACGTCTTTGGTATTCTAAGTGAGTACTTTGTGCCTGGTACCTAATTAACCAAGAGAATTGAATCCAAACATAGGAAGAATTTGCCTTTCAGTGTTAGTACTGAAATGCTCTTTCCCTCTAAAATGATAACTCTATGAGCCGTGTTTCTGTCTGTTCCCTTGGGCTGTACTAGATGCTTTGTCTTGAGTAAAAGGTCATTTTAAATAGACTGAGTAAAAATTATTTTGATGGAAGTTTCTTTGCTTTTTTAAGGCTGTGTCTATCCTTTATGAATAACTTGATTCTTTCCTGCAATGAATCAAAAGATGAGAAATCCACTGCAACTGTTGTATCTTGTGTAGCTGATGGGCAAATCCCACAAACTAGGGCAGTTGAAAAGTCCAGAATGAGACAAGGACTCGCCGTCTACTTTGACATTCAGAACTAAAAGGCATAAAAAATATGGCTAAAAAGCTGTAAAACTGAAAACTATGATAATTTTCTGCTGAAGGATGGATTCTGTGAGTTCCCTGTCAGAAGCATGTCGGCAGGACAGGATGCAAGAAAAAAGATTGGTTCCAAGTAGTCTCTGAATGTTTTGTCACTGACAAAATGCTGTGAGGAGCCTGTGAATTTGGAGGGCATGTTATTTTAGAAGACCAGCTTCAATTCTTCCCCCTGTATCTGGAAATAGAAGATGTGCTGCCATAGTCTGAAAAATCTTCTGGACTGAACAACATTCTCTGACAGAAGCATTTCTTCAGGCAGCCCATGTAGAAATAGCAGAAGGTAAAATAAAAGTGCATACGGTGGTAATCATTTGACCAGATAGATCACATAGGATGAAACTATCATCAGTGCTGACAATCTCATAGCCAGAGTGGTATGCCAGAAGGGTTTATATTCCTGTGGAAAAGGACTGTTAGTGGTACTTCATTCACATATGAGGAAAAATCTTCCAGAGAAAATAGTCTACTATGCACAGTGAAATGCTAGGTTTAAATGGAGCTCTCTATATTTATGTATAATTATTGCCTATCTGGTGGAGGAGGGCTGCTTGGAGGAAACTGGAGCATTAACACTTGTTTCACTTTTGCCAGCTTCAAAACTTCAAAACCAAAAAATTACTGATGAAAAATCAAACCTGGAAAGTAAGGGAAAGCTGGCTTCCAAGGTGAGCAGTATTGACAGCAAAGCTAATGGCAGTTGTCCAAGCACTGCTGAGTACTCAGAGCAGGTATCTGCAGTGTGAATGTATTTATGTACCAGAGGTATTTTGTCTTCTGTTTAACTTTACAGAGCTTCGCTGGAGGTTAGATCATATTCCCAGCAACACAAGGAGAAACAACCTCACTGTGCACAAGGCTTGTTACAGCTTGTAGCAGGGCAGTAGATGCAGATTGGCTTTCCTGGAGCCCTTAAAAACAGTTTGTGTAGTCTAAAGGTGTGACTGGCTTGCTGCTCAATATCCTGTAATGAGGTCTTTGTGGCCATACAGCGTGGCTTGTGGTCTGGTTCTCTCTACGCTATAGCAACTGCAGTTCACAACTACTGTAGCTCAGAAGTGGCTCACTCCTTGGTGTGAATCCTCTTTCCTGGGTGGTTCTGTAACCTCCCCTGGATGCTGTTCTGCAGTGAATATTCTGTTGTCAGAAATATGCTGTAATCACTGCACTGTGACTATAGCTCGAATGAGAGAAAATACTTTTTACAGACTATTTGTTACAGTACATCTCATGGTACTTAAACGTAGGTTGGATAAACCAAGAGGATTTTCTTTTCTTCCTTTTGAAGTTCAGTCACTTTGAAATCTTGGTGATTTTTGCCCTGAAATGTTATTACAGACTTGTTTCCTTTACTGTGTGGTGAAACACTGTCATGTGCCATATTGCTTTGAGGCTTACAAACGGGATTGTGGGTTTCCACAGACCCTGTATCTTTGTCCCCAGCACGAGAAAGTTGTAACCAGTAAAAGGAATGGTGACCTTCGGGCCAGGTTCCTTGGTCAAGGAAGCTTTTAGTTACACCTCCAGAGCTGTAAGTGCATGCAGTAAATTTTGGTCTTTCTATATCTTGCCGGTTACGTCTCTAATCACAATCAGGAGATGCACAGTATTTGGGGAATTGTTAAAGGCAACCACTAAATTAAGAGATTGCCACTAAACCACAATTTAATAGTCTCCAAATCATATTTTCATTAAACACTATTAGAAATTGCTGATTAAATGTGGTTCCTACTAGCAAAGAATGCTGCCTTGTTAACAGCTGCTCATATTTTGTACGCAACATAGTCATTTCCAACAGCTGAAAATTACACCAAATTTATCAGGACCTATTTTTAGCTGTGACTGACAGTGGCTAAGAGCCAGCAGAGTATTTTCAGAGCTCCTGCTGGCTGTCCTACTCATCAGTAATAGTTTGACACC